CCCTCGCAAGCCTTCCGTTTCTTGCGCGCCTGTGTGGCCCGGCACTGACGGCGACGGCGGTTGCACGTCGCGTGGTCCTGTGGGACATCGACGGCACCTTGGTGGAGTCCACAGACTTGGCATGGACCAGCACCAACCAGGCGTGAAGTTTCGAGACCCCATGGGGATTCACTACTGTGTGTTGACCAACGCATTTTGTTTTGACTAGAAGCGAGGCCGAGCGTTAGTATTAGAGGCATATTGAGCCGCCGCGCAATGGCGTAACTGCTTCAGTATCCTTGGTTCGTAGCAATCAATTTGAGCATCCCAATGCTATGTCGGGCTGATTCGGGGCATATTTCAAGCCTATTTCACTTCCTTCAGCTGCCCTTTGCCTCGTGCGTTTCGCATGGAGGCGCCAGCGGTTGTCGTGTGCAGGTGTTGGCGCGGAACGGCTTTCCGGAGGTCTCGGAAGCAGAGTACAGGGAGGCGACGCGGTTCACCACGCCTGCGCGGCTGGCCTTCCATGCAAAAACCGACCCAGATCACTCCATCGGCCTTGAACTGGCGAAGCAGTCTCTTGGTATCGCGCGTTAAAAGTGAAAATGGGGGGGGGGTTGAGGCTTGGGATTTGCTTGCTGGTGCTCAGTAGGAAATGACAGGTGTTGGGAATGAACCGGAAGGGGATTTCCTTGAACGACACCATAGGGGATGGTCTAGAGGGGTCATTCCCTCATTCCCTGCTGAAAACCAGCAAGTTTGCACGTCCGCAAGAAAAGTGCGACTTGCAAAAAGCAGTCCCAGCAGGCTGACTTGACTGGACCGCGAAATTTAGCAGCTAACACGACATACGCACTCTCGGAAAGCAGTGAGCTGGGCGTGCCCTGTTGTCAGTGGAGGTCAACCTTTGACTGATGATTGTTTCTCGAAAAAGCGACTAGTTGGGGTAGGAAAAGTCAAAAAGCAAACAGTGGCGGGCCAACTTGCCGCTGGTGCAATAGTGTCAGGTAGTGCCTGGCTGTATTTTTTTGAAGAGTAGCAGGCGCAGGTGCAGTTCACGCAGTCGCCTCAAGGTTGGTTCCGTCAAGGTCGCTTCGACATTTGACCCAGGTTCGACGAGGAGTACGTGGCCCTGGTGTCACCAAGCTCCGTGCCCTTGTTCCCTGGCCTGCAGACTTTGCTGCAGGAGCTGGTCGCCAAGGAGGTTTGCCTTGGCGCCCTCAGCAACGCATGCGGTGCCTATGTCCGAGCCGTGCTGGCTGCCCATAGTCTGAGCTCCCACTTCAAGTGCCAGTTGCTCGACAAGACTTGGAGTGTGCCTTTGGTCAGGTTTTGTCTTAAAACGGTTCTGCATGTTTTGGAAAGCGCTCCTTCCAAAGGGCCTCAAGTGATCAACACAATGACGTTTGTGGGGTGTTGCTGCTTTGTTGCGCCTTTTTCTCCGACAGAGGTTGGGTGCTGATGATGTGGACGAGGCCAAGCCAAATCCAGGAAGGGATCTTGTTTGCCAGGATTCAGATTGCAGCTTCATTTTTCGAGGGACGCTGGCTAAGAACACATTTGGTTCCAATCGCGTTCAGCTGTCATGGCAGGCCTGTTTACGAACAAGGAAGCTGCAGAAAGAATCTGAATCAGATTAAAGTGCAGCAACCGAATGACCAAGCTGCCAGATGGCCGTGGCAAGCAAATATGCAGCATTCTGCAGCTGCGTGAGCGCCTGTCGAGGGCTATGGCTCACATCCACGCTGCCTTCCGACTGGGTTCGCTATGGCAAACGCGTCAAATTTGCAACTCGCTTTGCTGGGCTTTGCGCTCAGCGTTCGCGGCGACCCTCAGCAGATTTGAAACTCGAGAAGATCCCTGTGCTCCTGACCTTGTACGCAAAGCAAGCCGTAGCGACTTTAAACTGACATAACAGAAATGAAGAACTTCTGCCCAGAGTCCAGAACTCAACGTATTGATCGCGCTGTATGTACTCAAAAACGATCACGATGCGCGTGGCTTCATGCTATGGCAATACCCGCTGCACGGGTGCGTCGATTTTTAGCCCCCCCCCCCCCCACCTACAACGGCAGTATCAATCAACAGGGCTAGCCTTCGCCGAACGACGAGCCGCCTTTCAAGCCACGTGCTCTTCTCTCGCACTCGGAGACTCGAGCGCGGGTCAGCTTGACTGCTCTTGGGTTGGATCTTTAGACTTTAACTCTTTGGGAGATCAAGGTGTTTTCCACCAAACCCCCAAAAAGGTATTCACTTTTTGCAGGGGTCGTTGCAGCAGCCAAGTCAGGAGGCCTCTTGAGGTGCTGCCGGCTGTTGGGCGCGGATCCTTCCGAGTGCGTCTACGTGGGGGACTCCCTGGGCGACGGCCTGGCGGCCTCGGCGGCCGGGCTCCGCTCGGTGGGCGTGCGCTGGGGCGATGGAAAGGGGCTGGAGGCGGCCTTCGATGAGGCGGGCGGCGCGCGCGTTTTCGGAGGGAAAGCCCCCAACATGGCGGGGTGTTCCCTGGTGGTTTCCTTTGAAACCGGCAAAAAAGAGGGGGTTTTCCCCGGGAAAAAAGAGAGACCCTGGGCGCTGTTTGTTTTTTTGAAGTGTGGGGTCGTCTTTGGCAGCACAGGTCAGCCCTTTGGAACGAAGCAAGTTGATCTGCTCCAATCTTGGTGGGCTGGCTGACTGCCACCATCAATGTGGGGGGTCATTTTTTGAGCCCCCCAAATGGTGGGCTTTCCTTGTGGCTTGCCTTGAAACCACGAAAAAGAGCCCCCCCCCCCCTCCTTGGGCGGTTTGTTGTTTTGAGGGAACCTCGTTTCAAAACCAAAGGGAAGACACCAATTTTCGGGCCCCTTGTTTGAGACACGCACACATACATACATACATACATACATACATACATACATACATACATACATACATACATACATACATACATACATACATACATACATACATACATACATACATACATACATACATACATACATACATACATACATACATACATACATACATACATACATACATACATACATACATACATACATACATACATACATACATACATACATACATACATACATACATACATACATACATACATACATACATACATACATACATACATACATACATACATACATACATACATACATACATACATACATACATACATACATACATACATACATACATACATACATACATACATACATACATACATACATACATACATACATACATACATACATACATACATACATACATACATACATACATACATACATACATACATACATACATACATACATACATACATACATACATACATACATACATACATACATACATACATACATACATACATACATACATACATACATACATACATACATACATACATACATACATACATACATACATACATACATACATACATACATACATACATACATACATATATATATATATATGCGTGTCTGTGTCGTTGTCTGTATCTGTCAGTCTGTGTGTCTGTGTCTGTGTCTGTGTTTTTGAGGGCAGCCTTCTTACGGGCTTGAGTAAAACCAAAGGGAAACCAAAAGGGAAACTACCATTTGATCAGGCCCCCCATTTTGAGACAGGCTCATATGGTGACGCTTTGCAGGGTAAGTCACACCATACAAGATATAAGACGTGACGTATAGTCATGACCGAGCTGGTCAGCAAGAAACACCATTGGCTGCTCAAGGCAACTCGATGATGTTTAGGTAGTCAGTTTCGCTCCACAGGGCGGTTTGGAGACCACTCGTCCTTTTCGACCCCCAGTTCCAGTTGAGCTCTTCCTTCGGGAGTATTCTCGCAGCTCCAAATTTAGATCTGGAGTGGCCCTGAGGTGGTGAGCACAGCCGAGGAGCTGAGAGCCACATTGATGCGTGACTGAATTCTCCATGCCCCGACGCTCCGCGGACGCTCTGCGAGCAAAAGGAAGCTGCCGCGAGGCTTTGCAGTCGTGCCGAATGAGGGCAAGTTGGGTTTTGAGGGTACCCCCTTTTGTGGCTTTTAAAGGGGAAAGCAACGGGTGCTCTGTCTATTTACTCCTAAACCCTGGCAGCCTTGAAGGGTGCAAACATTTGTTTTCAGCAGTCATAGGTGCATTCACTTCCTGCCGCTTCCATGCAGAAGGGAAAAACGCTTTGTTTTCCGTGCATTCGGAGCTCCAATTGAGGTCTTCATCCAGGCTCGTCCTTTTGTTTTACCTTTTCAAGTATCCGAAAGGTTTAGGTTGCCCTTAGTTGGTTGGTTTGGATTGGAAACTGGGGATTTGAATTGCTGGTTTTTGATAATGGTAGATGGGACACCACACCACCAAGCATAGGGACCCTGAAAAGGGTTTTCCCCACCAACACCACGAGATACCACCGAACTCCAAACCATCTTTAGTGGATCCCAGGCAAGCCCATATGGTAGGGAACCAGCTATCTTCCTTTAAAAAGCAACAAGAAAACAAAGCACAAACAACACAATCAAGTGGTTCCCTTGGTTGCCTATCTTTTTACCAGGTTTGCATGGAACCACTGGGGCCCTTCAGCCGAACCACGGGGCCCTTTTCGCCTCGCCGAACCACGGGGCCCGGCCCCCGAGCCCGCGCTCTTCTCTGCGAGGAGTCCGACCGCATCCCCGGCGCCGAGCCAAAGGACCGCATGCAGTGGCAGCATGCGCTGGCGGACCCGCCGGGGCCGGGGGACCCGCTGGGACCGCGGGACCCGGGTTTTGCTTGGGGCTTGGTGGGGCAGCGAAGTAGGTTTTTGCTAGGTGGGTGAGAACCCATGGTGAGACTTTTCCGATTTACCATGGTGAGATGACGCATTTACCATGAGATGACCCATCTACCATTCTGAGTCTCCGTTCAGTGGGGAAAATTTCAGGCTTACTTAGCCACTTACTAAGCACCTGATCGCCCCTTTCAGGGGAAACCAAAAGCCAAAACCGAACTCCGTTTTGATGGGTCCGGAAAGACCGCCACTTGGATGGTCTTGGGAACCCTGTTTCATGGATCAGCCCTTTGGAACGAAGCAAGTTGATCTGCCCCAATCTTTGTGGGCTGGCTGAGTACCACCATGACTTTGTTTGAGGGGACCCCTCCAAAATGCATTTCGGGTGTCTCCTTCAAAACCATCCACACGGGGTACCCTCGAAAAGACACACCTGTGGCTTTATCAGGAAGAGCTGGCCTTTTCGCTTTCCGACCCTGAATCACTACGACTATTCAAGTGCCTCTTTCCGTCCAAGCCCTTTGATTCCCTACACAGTTTTCTGGACGGGGCATTGGCTGACTACTGACGTTGGCGCAGGATTGGGGCACTGTGTTCGGCAGTCGAGCAGGGGCTTTAGGTTTCCTGGAGCATTTTTTCCCATGAAACCGAGCTAAGGTCCACTCGCTTACAGTGGATCAATGAAACCAAGTGACACTTTGCAGGGTGAAAATCATCATGCATGCTCGTGAAAAAGCTGCAACTCACTTGTAGCAATAGGAGAGCTTCCGATCACAAGTGGCCGCAGCATCGCACGGTTCATGCAATTGTGCCTTAACACCATGTCACACACACACATATGTGCTGCGGTCAAAATACCGGTCCCTTTACTTGGGGTTAAGAGGGATGGTCATCCACCTGGCAGAAAGGCTCCTATGACCATAGGCCAAAGGCAGGCAGTGTCGCTTGCTGCGAGTTCCTTTACCAAAACATCCCACGTGCCAAAGTGATGCGCATGTCAGGATCATAAAACATGTTGATGACACACACACACACAAGCATAGTGCCACCATTGCAACAACCCCAACACCAATGCTTGCGCCCTCCGGATTGGAGAAGTACAATTGCACCTTTGCTGAGGCGCTTGTTGCTTGCTGTAAGAATTTCATGAATGCGGGATTTCAGGCCCGCCGCGCTCGAAGATTTTGGTGGAGCTTCAAAGCTGTTCACCCAAAGGGGTGTGCCAAGCGAGCGGAGGTTCTTCTACAACTTTGTGGGGCCAACGAACTACTACTTCCTTCGGAGGAGCGTGGTCCGTTGAGGGAACTTCTTGTTCGAAATTCCTGGACCAAGAGTCCAATGCCCATCACTCTCCTCACACGTTTGTTGCCAGTTTCAGCTTGTTGCAGGTTTAACGTTCCAGCCGCTCTAGTCAGCGGTGTTCCTTCTCCCTACCACATCGTTAGTATGGCCTGGTGCACGCCACAATTCTATGCAGAGGATAGCAAAGCCACACTTCAACATGAATCCATGCAGATATGGCTGATATTCTGGTCGACTTCGCCGTCCGAATTCGTTCTTGCATTGTTACGGGTCCTCTTTTCCGTGACAGGGAGCCATCACTTCTAGCTTTGGTCGAATTGGCACCCGGGAGATCAGGAAAAGGGGTGGTTCACCAAGAGTTTTTGGGTCCCCCAATTTTGAGAACCCATATACGGATATTGTCAACTAGAACAGCTATGTCGTTGGAATCAGCCTTATGCTCCCAACTCCCAACGTCTTCACGTGTGGACTGTTGATACTGTGAGAACAGTCTGGACAACTGATCCGCAAACATATGCCTTTTAGGCTTTTGGTCACAGGTTGCAGAGCTGAAAGGCAGCAAAACAATAAGTATAATGATAAAGAGTGAAGGGCAAGAATCAACCACAGTACCGCACGTTTCAGTCCTTTCCATTTACCAGGGTGCCATTTTGGGGTTACCCTATTTTTGACCCACACCCATGTCTCTTCAAGGATTCGAGCCGTACGTGTGAGCTCTAGCGGGACCTCCCAGTTTCAACATGTTGCAAAGGTGGTGTTTCTGAAATAGAAATCGGCCCATTTTGGACGGGAGGACACCAAAAGACCACCACCAAAAGACCGGCGTCAATCCCCGACTTTTGAGCACTCGCTTGCAGAAATTTGGAGCTCAGGAGCTGCCGATGCGTCACTTGTTTGCTGTGTACCTTGATTCTTCTAGCCGGCCACTCAGCGCGAGACTCCAGAGGCGGTACCCATCAAGAGAAAGCTGGGACAGCTCAAGCCGTCTCAAACAAGACGGGGCGGTTGTCGTTCAATTTGAGAACTGCGAGGAGCGCCTCAAACAAGAAGAAACGAAAGCGGCGACGTATCAACGCAAAACAATCCTCGGCACCGGCGAATTGCGAGCGCTCGGCGAGCTCGGCTCCGTCTTATTGGCAAAGGCTAGACTAGTACATGTGTATGTCATGTTTTTTGAGGGTACTCCTTGGTTGCTTGATAGGGACACCAAACGCAACGCCACCATGTTGGATGAGGTTCCTCGAAAAAATACGCCCACGTTGCCTGTTCAGCAGAAGTCCCAAGCGCCGCACAAGAGTCGACACATCTGAGTCACAGCAGGTCCGGGCGGAAGGGCGGATCAGATTTGTTGGGCTGCGAAAAGAGAAAGGTCCCCCAAAAAAGGACGCCGGGGTATGGGTCAAAATTAAGCAGCTGGGGTCGCGCAGGTGTGTTTGTCTACCGTTCCATTTTTTAGGGCAAGCCATTTTGCTGACCTACTTTTGAGCCACACCCACCCAAAGAGCACCGAGGCCGTGATTTACCTCGTCTGCCAGATCATCTTGCCCATACTCGACCTTAGCGACCGAGTAGCTGGCACTGAAACTGGAACTGGCACAACGCGATGACTGATGATAATCTGCGAACACCTCAGACGCGGTTGGTTGGGGGTTGATCGATATTCCGTTTAGGGCCCAGAATGACCATGGGCCACTTTCCCGTTTAGTGGGGAAAGTCATCTTTCTTGGTGGTGTTCCAGATGGTCATCCCACCTAAAGGATGATGTTTCCGGAAGCTTGAAGCTATGGTGGGTGTCAGTGATCGCTTGTGCAACTTTCGGAACATCCAGGGCTAAACAGAGAGTTCGGGTTGTTTTCGCAGTCGCAGTCTTGTGATGCTTTTGGACCATGCTTGCAGAGTATTTTACATTGAGACATTTTTGATGAGGTTGCTGTAATTGGCCAGGCTGATCTAGCTAAGCCAAACCGTGACCCAAACAAATGTGTTTCGCGCGTTGGGAGAACTGAATCAGATCAACTCATGCAACAACGTTTGCTTGTGCTGCTCTTGACTAAGGTCGCCTGACCCAGCCCAGAGATTGTGCACTTCGCATAGCAACAACAGTTGACCTTATGCAACAAGATTGGACGCATTCCTGCCTCGCGTTTGTTTAACTTTGCTGCACTGCCAAATGGCTCCGAACCCGGTGATTTGCACTTGATTCTCCCCCCAAACTGCCGTGTTTTCTGCGGTGTGTACTCGTGTTTTTGCTCCCAAAACTGGGGGGGAACTGCCAAAGTGGGAGGTTTTTTTTGTGGGACCCCTGGGCTCAAACCAAACCAGGAATTCCCTCCCGGCTCCCGGCTGAGGCGAGCTGGCCGCCGGTGTGTACTCGTGTTTTTGCTCCCAAAACTGGGGGGGGGGAACTGCCAAAGTGGGAGGTTTTTTTTGTGGGACCCCTGGGCTCAAACCAAACCAGGAATTCCCTCCCGGCTCCCGGCTGAGGCGAGCTGGCCGCCGGTGTGTACTCGTGTTTTTGCTCCCAAAACTGGGGGGGGAACTGCCAAAGTGGGAGGTTTTTTTTGTGGGACCCCTGGGCTCAAACCAAACCAGGAATTCCCTCCCGGCTCCCGGCTGAGGCGAGCTGGCCGCCGCAAAGCAGGGGGCAGGGCGTGTCCTCGCAACTGGATCTGATTCAGCCGGAACCCGGTCCCAAAAGGACAATGGCCCAAACCGGGGATTTCTCACAGGTTCCATGTTAGGTGGGAGGGTATTTGACGCAGGTGTTCAGCCAGGCACGAAAAAAGTCATGATCCGAAGATCTTAAGTTGCTTGAAGCTTTTGTGAGCCGTGTTTTGAGCCGCAATGAACCATTTGAGAATATGCGAGTGGCTCCCGAAACTTTCAGGCTGTTCCAGTTTATCGACGGTATGCCCGAATTCACATGCCAAGTAATTCGCATGGGGCATTTTCAAAGCGGCAGGCAATGGCCAGTCATTCTTGCTGCCTCTTTGTCCCTTTATGTTTTGTTTACACAGCGCAGTGAGAAATCTCCTGCGCTTTGCTGACGAATTTAAGGCAAGTCTCCCCTTTGTGTTTTGTAATTAAAGGCTGCAGATATTTCCTACGACACATCAGCCCAACAAACAACATTTACGGTGATCTTCAACATCCTGATGACGCCCGGAGACTTGCCACTGTCGCTGCTCGAAGCTAAGCGCGCTCGCGAAATTGAAGCCTCACACAGAATGCTTTCAGGAGCATTGGTAAGTTGCCCAGTCGCAAATCCAACGAGCCAATCTGCGGAAAGGTTTCTTTGAAGAGCTCTTTTGCTTGGGGTTCCAGCTCCATTTTTCGGATTCGTTGGGAAGGGGAGCAATTTCTTGGATGGAATTGACCTTGTGCATCCATTCAAAGCACGCCTCATCCTTGGTTTGGATTGGGCGGTGATTCTCCTTGGACATAGTGATTGCGAAGCGAAGGGCTAAGCGGCTAGATGGCCTGACCAACCATTCGCAGCTGCCTGGCTCAGCTTCGACAAGACAAGACAAGACAAGACTAATATGGCTATGAGTCAAAATTAAACCACCAGCGGACCAGCGGACGGCAGGTTTTGGTCCATGCTTCCACTTACCAGGGCAAGCCATTTTGGGTACATCTTTTTGACCCAGAGCCATATGGCAGAACAACCAATGATATTGACACATACACACGCACACACAGCTACACTGCGGTTCGCGAATTGAGCCGTTCAACAGCTCAGCTTCCAATATTTTTTTGCAACTTGACAAACGCTCGTTAAGCTAACTGTTGGGCTGGCAGACCGAATCGTAGGGTGTCGCCAAGCATTCTTCAGTTTGGAGACTCAAGGCCTTTCCCTTGACCGATTTCAAGCATTCAGCATCCAAACAGTTCAGCAAACCTGTGGGTTCATTTCCTGGCCGGTGGGTTTGCAGCGGCAAACTTAGAGGAGTTCGCGCTCGATGCCTCGCTTCAAAACCAGCGATGTGGTGGACGCAGAGACTCAGTGCGGGCTCCAAGACATGACCAGACCATTCACGTCAAGCAGCTTGGAGTCCGATGGGCTTAACGCAATCAAAGGAGCACGAGGTGAAGTTGTGGTCATGCCGGCCAACTCAACAACAGTGGGTTTGCGAGGATGGGAATGGAAGTGGTGTAGCAAAAGCTTGAATGAAGGAGGACACCGGCAGCGGGGAAGGCTGGTAGAGGTGCGAGACTAGCAGAAGGGATGGGGCGGGTCCTGCGTGGCACCTACGCTCGCCAGCGGCCTTGCCCCATCCCTTCCAGCCTCGCTCTTTCTGCACCCAGTTTGACTGCAGATTACCCTCCTGCTTATGCCTTCGAAGATATCCAGGTTTCCGGCTTCTTACATTTGTGCCTTATCGTTTACACTCCTTCTGCTTCCTGCCTTGTTTCGAACATAGGCCATTGCTGATCCTGACAGGCACGGGCATCTGTGGTTTGGATTTGGGGGGAACCCCATGCTCCACCTCTTTCTTAGGCTCCGCACGGGACGGCTGCCTTTATACCTTCAGTCGGTGCTGCATTCTACATTCGCTGAGTTGAGCACAAGCTCTTGGTCGCTTGCCCGATTGGTGTTTCAGAATGTTTCAAATAATTCTCTTGAATGAGAAGAGAACCAGCTGGGACCGTCGTGACTCGTGACTCGCCGAGACGCCTTGGAGTCCCTAGAGGCCTACTGCCATCCCAAGTTTGATGTCCGTCTGGTCTCTTACGCGAGTCAGTCTCCGACATGAGACACTCCGCTGTGACTCGGGTTTCCGTTGTCGCCCGAAAGAATCGGGGGGTGAGAAGCACCCTGCATGGGCTTGTCCTTTAGGCTTTTGGTTTCCCGCCAAGAACGGCTTTGGCTTTGTTTCTGGTTTCCCACAAAAAAACATGTTACCGCGCCTCCAACGCCAGCTCCTTGCTTAGGCAGTGCACCTTTGCAGAGTTGTCCCTTTCAGCGCCCCTAGTGCCGAAGCCTGAGAAGCCTTTTGACGCGTTGGGAGCTGGATGCGAGAAGCAACGGCTGAGGCGACTGCTATCTTGGAAGCTTTTGATGGCGCAAACTCCATGAAACTCGAAATCAAAAGTGCGTTCTGAACTGGACGGTTGAAGACTGGCGAAATTCGCTGTGGATTTTTTGGACCGTGGGCGCTCAAGGCGTTTTAGGCATGTTTTCAGTACACGAGCAAACGAGGCCTTCCTCACAAACCTTGCAGGGACATCATTGCCCGAGAAAAAGTTCCATGAGAATTACAGGCTGCGCCGAAAGGGGAAGACTTGACTGTTTGTCGCAGCTTTGACGGGTCAAAATGAGTCACCGCCAGGGGATCGCAGGTGTTTTTTTGTCCTTTCCATTAGGGGAAACCCGTTTTTGGGTTTACTATTTTCCACCCGCGCCCACATGTTCCGTGGGAAATATGATGGGCTGTCAACCTGCTTTGGGTTGCACGCCCCTCTTGTTACAAGTGGCCATGGGTCAAAATCCAAATCGTACCCCCAGTGAACATCCCAATCCAACGACTAAAATAGGAACCCTAAAATGGGTGCTGAATTCACAAATCCCAACCAAAATGGGATCCCAAAACGGTTTTGACAACCACAGCGCCTGAGACTTGAGGCGCAGCCTTCACGAGATGGGCTGCGAGCGACCGTCGCCGGCGCCTTGCCTCAGCGTCCGTTGAGCAAAGTCAGAGACCACTTTTTGGGGGGTTTGTTGTACAATTCTTTGGAGGTACCCTAAAAAATATATCCAAATGTCCAGAGGTCAGATGTCATCTTTGGTTTGGTTGAGCGTGAGTCCCCATTCTGGTCTGGCATGTGTGTATCGATTGTCATTGTGTTTCCGTATACTTTTCCGGATCCTTTTAGGACGACGCTGAATTTCTTTGTCCGAGTAGCTGAAGCCATCCCCGCGCTTGATGGTTCCTGCAGAAGCATTTTCCCAGTGGACAACTGATTTCTTCGGAGCAGCTTCAATCCAATCCTCGGCCTTTCGCTGGATGGCAGGTTGGAGTTGACACACTTTCTTCAGCAGTCAGCTCATCTTTTCATGCAGACGGTGGTTGTAGCGTACAAGCGACGAAGCCCTGAGGTGCAGTTGCACACCATCCCCGTGGCACTGTCTGGTGGCGACGTGATCGTGCAAGCAAAATCCGGCACAGGCCGGGGCCAGAGGACATCTTTTTCCTTCCAAAGCCCGCGAGGCAGCTTCCACAATTGGTTTATCTTTTCTGTGGATATCACTGGCTTTGGGCGGTTTTGTCGTTTTGTCTAGTTTGACCAGACCTGACACTGTCCAAATGTTTGATTCCTGAATCGCTGGAAGGGGTTTGCCAAGCTTCGGGACAAGCTGAGTTGGAGCCGCGCTTGTGTTCAGTGGTTCCGAGAAGCCGTTTCGCCGCGAAAGCGAGGCAAGACCATTGCCTTCTGCTCTGTGGTCCTTGAAGGCCAGGCCGGGAGTCTGACGCGCGTGTCAGGGGGGAATGAACTTGGAACACTCGGCACTTGTCCTGTGAGCCTCTGTTGAAAGGAATGCCGCCTAATGCCGCGGCCAGGGTGCATCATGCTTGGGTTACGGCGCACCTTCTCCGCTGAACTAAGTTAAAGGCGGCAGACGGCTCCCGGGAGAAGATCAATCGCTTTGCTTTCAATCTGCAAAATTGACCTTCTGTACAAGAGGTGATACTCGCAGGGCTGTTTCCGCTTCAACTTGCAGTTTGTTTTTGATGACGTACATTTGCCTCTCTGCGAATGCTGAGGCATAGACACTTCTGTTGCAGGCGCCTCCCAGGCGGGGCGGCCAGAAAGAGCTCAAGACGGAGCCCTCCGGGCGGAGAGTTGAGTTGCGACCCAGTCCGATGTTTGCCGATTTGGAGAAGCAGAGGAGTGGATTTGCAGGTCCCTCCCAGAGCGGTAAAAGGATTCGGTCATTCGGCACTGAGCGCCAGGCTCTTATCCTAGCTCCCACCCGCGAGATTGCCATGCAGGCTGGGAGCACGCTTTGTGGTGCTGTGCCTGGCATCCTGCAAGGCTTGAGCCTCCTCCAGTTGCATGGGGCAGAAAAAATGAAGCCCCGAGCACATGAATGGATCATGTTTGAAGAAGCGGCACAGGGAACCGGCATGAAAGATTGTCGCCGCGGATGTCTGCTGGTACCTTGAAATCTGGATCTGTCTTCTTTTTGAGGGAAGCCCGTGCAACACTTTGTTCTTGGCGTGGCTTCAAAAATGGAACACCAGCTGGACAAGACCTTCTTTTTTTTTGGAATAAGACGCACACCCCAAACAAATTGGTCGGCAGCAGCTGTTGCTCCCAAAGCCGCCGGCTTGGTGCAGCCACGGTGTCCAGATTTCCGATGAGCTGGAGCGGCTCGCCTGGCCCGGGGCCCCGCAAGGGGGAAAACCCCACGAAAAGGATTAGGATGCATGTAATAGTAGATGTATGTGGTCACCCCCCCATGTTTGACACTTCTTTCCTTCAAACAAAAAACTGTGTAGATCATGGGGGGGGGGGGGGGTGAGCATATATATATATATATATGCATACCCTCCCACCGAACATGGTTTGGTGCACAGGCCCCTGTAGAAGGACTACTTTCCTCTTGGAGGGGCCCCTGGATTTTTATGTTGGCGGGAGGGTATGTTTCCCATCAAATGAGAAAAACTACCTATGGTGATTTGGGGGCCAGGAATATGGATGACTCCCAGGTGGCAAGTTGATGCTATCAACTATTGAGGAATACACTCAACCATATTTGGTTGGTGGACCAGAGAATCCCGACATTATTTGGATGTCAGAGGGTCCCCACTTAAAAATCACGCCCATACTGTTCTTCCAGTTCCATGCAAACAATTCGGAAAGCATCAAGAGGCCAAACTTCAGCGGTGAACATGACAAAGGACAGCCTTGTCAAACACGTGGTGCACCCATCACAACGAGGGACTGCAGCTTTCTCCAAACGTGGTTTCGAACCCATCGCAACCAGGGACTCCAGTTGCCTGCAGAATCAGATTGCTTGTTCAACTATTGGACATTTGTTCCCAATCATTCCTGAGTCTGTATGATGGGTTGGGTCCCAGTCTTTGTCCAGCTGAAGACAGCTATTGAGTTTGCTTGGATATGCATGGTTGCTAATTCATCTTTCCATCGCCTGAGGGCTGTTTGCAAGTTTCGATGGAACTCTGAGGTACTTGGATCCACCTGTTGATGCCGATACCTCAGCCCTGCCTGGGCATTTGGAAAGCGCAAGACGAGAGACGGATCTACTTGGATATACAGAGACCCCTAGGCTCCTAGGTTGAGGTGTTTGATGACCATGATATCATAGCAACCTCGTCAAGAGATTTTTGCATAAAGGCGCTGGCCCTTCCTCAGAACGCAAATCAGCCTTCTGCGCGAGGTTGGATGCTTCATCGGCGGGGTCTCGCTGGAAGAGGATGAGGCCAGTCTTTCCGCGTGCCCGCTTGTTTCCTTGTTTGCTCACTTGCTCGTTCGCTTGTTCGTTTATTTGTTCGTGTAGGAACCATTGAAGGCATCGACTGGTGAAGCGAGTTTGGAAAGCATGGGTCATCTACTCTTCGCTTCTTGGGGTTTGTGCAGATAGCATGGATGTGTTTTTTCTAGAGTACCCGTTTAGGGGTTGATCTAAAGGGAGTCCAGATTCCCAAAGAAATTTGTTCCTCATTCCGATCATCGCATGAGCTTGAAGGATGCCGTTCAGATCACGGACGGAGAGAGCAAACTCGCAAACACATCGAGGGCATGAGATGCATGCGGCCGCAACGCTGTCCTGTCCCTACTTGTATGCGAACCCTGAAGTCAGATGTGCCATGTTCTGGAGCATGACTGAAGCATATGCCAGACCTTTGTGAATGAATTTATGACATGGATGTGCATGGGGCCTTCTTGCAGGAGAAGCTCGAAAGCGGCACTCCTCACGTGGCTGCCGCGATCACAGGGGGCGGATCAATCGCAATGTGAGCCACAATCAAAAGGGACAATCCCAACCATAAATAGCTGCGGCTGCCTTCTTAGTTCTTGAAGCATGGCTCTGGGTCGACCATTTTAATACCGGGTTTTGATTGTGACTCATGTGCCTGTTCATATTTTGCGTTGACTTCTCAACCTTGAAGGATTCCGATTGGACCTCCCGCTTGCACGTTGGGGCCTGCTCTGTCTCTCTCTCTCTCTCTCTCGCTCTGTGGGCTGAGAGCACTCTTGACCCTAGGAGCTTTTTGGGCAGTGGACGTAGACCCCAAGATGGTTTCCAAAGACAGGTGATGGAGGTCCGGTTTCTTATGTACCCAAACTGTCTCCATCCTCTGGGTTCTAGATCTTTGACCTGCTTTGTAGTTGGAATTCGGAAAGCTTGAGTTGGCTATGCCAAACAGACCGGCAGTCAGCACTTCGTGTGAGTGTGCGGATCAGATTGGTTGGTCCAGCATTTGAACGGATATATGTGCTGGCAAAGGTTGACCTTGCAAAAACGCACTGCCTTGTAGATACAACCCATCCACCTGATGGTTGCATTGGTGGATCCCAATCGGGTTTGTCGTTTCTTGAGGGTACCCAATTGAGCGGTTTAAAGGGACACCAAAAGGAAACCACCATCTTTAGCGGCCTAACAAAAGAGCCACCCCACGCCACTTCTTGCAGGCCAAATCCTTTCACCTCAGGTGGGAAGCCCGGGTCGCATGCTGAAGTTGCTCAGAGAGGGAATGCTCACCACAGATGCGCCTGCACCTCAGGTCTGGTACCCTGGATGGGTCTACCCAGCAAGTAGTAGCAATGACCGTTGACGGGTGGATACTGGCATTTCCCATGCCAGAATTCAAGCATACATCAGCTCATCAACCAGAAACATTGTGCTGAAGTCATCAGAGTCTCTGAAGGATGGATGAGGGTGTGCCTTTTTTAGGGCCCTCTTGGCCAACCAAGAATGAGTTCCCCGCAAGAAATGCAGACCTATGAACTGACAAGTGAGTCTGAGGTACACATCCCAATGCCAATAGCTCATGTCGTGCGAAAACCAGGTGGTTGGTAGCCAGCTCATGTCGACCATTGGCCCCATGTGAGCTGCTGAGACGCACGAGGTATTTGGGAATTCCAATGTTATTCCCTGCAATTCCATGTTATTCCATGTCATTTCATGCCATTTCATCTCACTCTTGATGGTTCATTCTTTCCTCCTTAGGTAACAGGAACCTCGCTGGTGCTCAGTAAGGAATGAGAAATGGAATGACTTTATTCGGGAATCCCCCAAACCGGTTCATTCCAAACCAACTGCTGGTTTCCTTTTTCGGGGACCAGAGCAACTGGGTTCATTCCATTTCACATTCCCCACTGAGCAATTCCCAGCAAGGAACAGATCCCGGGTTGCAGTCAAGGCGCTTGTACGTTCTTGCATCGGAATAGGTCCGTGGTGACCTCTTGAAGGGGTATATCCAACTGGGGGAGCGTTAAAGAGGTCCAACACAGAGCTCCGCTTTTTGACTCCCACAATGACAACCCAGGGGTGAGTCATGTATTGAAAGGGACCCCCTGGGTTTAAGTCCATTGTGGGGGTACTCAAAAAGTGGAACCCTGGTCCAACATGAACAGGAAAAGAAGCTCAGGCTTCCTTTGGGTTAAGAACACTTTCTTCTTTTCCCCTGTTGGTTTGAAAAGCAATCTATCACTACTGGAAGGGGTGGATCCACGAAAGTCACATCCAAACCGTTCTAGACTCAGGTTCAGGGAGAGCTTGACACTGCACAGATTTTCTCATTTTTCCCAGACATTTTTTCGCATACTGCACATATTTTCTCATTTTTCCGACGAAAAAGCAACTGGAGGCAGAACATTGCGAAAGAACCGAGGCGCTTCCTGGTGCTGGACGAGGCCGACAAGCTCTTGGACGCCAACTTCAGGCGGGGCTCCGAGCGTGGGGCGGCCACGAAGCTAATTCCGTGGCTGGAGTGTGTGGCTTCTGACCCAAAAGCCCCAACGGCTAGGCCATAGATGGAAAGGAGGAACAAGGGTGTCTTTGTTTGGGTGCAAGACTCGGACTGGCAATATGGAATGAAATGGTGCCTGTCGACTAGCAACCTACTTCCAAATTCAGTAGTGTCGCTGGCCCGAAGCACTTCCAAATGGTGCTAGAGATAATACATATATATATATAGATATCACACACACACACAAATGTATGTATGTGAGCCGCGCTGGTTGTAGCAAGAGTTCTGCTGATTGCGTGTCATTTACCGCTTTGGTAGCTTGGCTTAGACAACTGCCCGGTTGCACAGCTAACTTGCCTGTATACGGCAACTGAGCAAGTGCTGGAGTTCGCCACACAGAGCCTTACCATTGCCCCAGGCAAGACATCACTGCCATCACCGAGTTGGTCTTCACGAAGCCCGGAGTCTTGGAGTGCAAGGCGAAATCTTGGACAGCCGATCGGCTAGCAGCCGTCTAAATGTGGGTGTGTCTTTGAATGGTCCCACGAAATGTGTTTTTTTCCATTTGGTTTCCCCTTAAACCCCGAGAAGGGCATGAAGGTGCTACTTAGCATCAGGACCCAGCCTGAACCAATGGATACGCAATAGTGTGATGTTGCTTAGGTTCTTTCACGAAGGCCATGATGAACCTCTTCGGACAAGAAAGCCGTTTCCACTGGCTGAATCTTTTTTCAATCGCTGTACAAGACTGCTTTTGTGCAACTATTTGTGCCCGAAGACAGTTCTTAGAGTTTCGCTAAAGCTGGAAGAAGGTGGGGCACGGACGGCACGATTTCTTCGAGTGGGCTAGTTACCTGACGGCGGACTGAAGATGCCGTGTATCTCCATAGCCTTTATGACGCTAACGCCGCTCTTTTTCTTGCGCTGAAATGGTCAGCACAAATCAACCTATGTTGCCAGCAACGTATCATCTACTCAATCCATATGGCTGTGGGTCAAAACCAATGGTACCATTTTGGGGTAGGTGCACCACCCATTTTAGTCTATTTTAGTGGTTGGATTGGTTGATGTTCACTGGGGGCTAACCGATTTGGATGTTGACCCATGGCCATATCGAACAGATCTGGACTTGGTATGGGCATGGGTCACACTTAAACCGGGGATCCCAAGGTTTGGACCTTGTTTCCGTTTCCCATGGTTCTATTTTGAGGTTACCCGATGTTTGGCCCGCGGCCATCTCCAGTAAAAGCTCATCCGATCATAGGTGTCCTTAGGTGAGCCTGGTTAAAAAAGATGGATGGGTTCCACTGGTTTAGATGGAGTTTGTTCCATTTACCAGGGAACCCATCTATTGTTCACCCTAAACCCTAACCCTAAACCCTAAACCCGCCCCAAACCCCACCCTAAACCATTTATCAGGCCCATCTATTTTCCCAACAGGCCACCTATGCACTCTTCCGATCGTTAGTCACGAGTCCACGCGAGGCAGCTGCAGTTCCTGGCGGTCTCCGCGACCTTCCCGCCGCCCTTGGTGGCCCTGGCGGAGGATCCTCTGCTGCCCAGTGTCTTCTCCTCTTTTTTTTTTTGGGGGGGGAAGGGGTTCCTTTTAAACTCAACCAGAAAAGGACATTTTCCTTTTTTGGGGCAAGGGTTTCCTTTTAAACTCAACCAACCAAAAAAGGATGGAGGTTTTACCCATCGTTTTCCTTTTTTTTTGGGAAGGGTTTCCTTTTCAAACTGAACCAAAAAAGGATGCCCTTTTTTACCCATGGCCACTGGGCATCTGAGGATCTCTTCGTGCACGTCGGGGCCCCCGAGACCGAGACCTCGAGTTTCGGGTTTGGGGTCCGGAAAGTTGGCGTCAAAAAGGGAGACATGGCCCCCACCCCCCCACCCCCCGAAAGCGAGCCAAGGGCAGTGTAGTTTTTGTTTTTGGACACCGACGTGGTTGTTTTTTTCATATTTGTGCAAGGGCTCCAAGAGAACTTTGATCGATTTGCCTTGGAAGGCGGGCATGTGTAGAAGGCACATCTGAATGCAAGGGGCGCTTTCCGCTCTGCTCACTGGTTTGGAAGGGTCCACTTTGGTCCGTGTGTAGCCAAGAGTCAACCGCCGACTGCAACTTCACCAGCGGGGCTCGTGGATCGAGACGTTGAGAACTGGAGCTTCGAAGGCGGACCAAAATGCGTGGGATCCCCCAAAAGACATCTTCCCAAGCGAACCATTTGGCTACCTTAGGCTTCCTAATCGAAATGGGGTATTATATGGGTATATTGGGACCCCCACCCCAATGGTTGGTGGACATCAACCCCAACAATTAGAAATCATAGCCAGAGAAGACAAGGCATCACGCGCTGCCTCCGGTACGGGATGGGTCAGCCCACTTCAGTCGACAGCCTTCATGGCAGTCGATCTCAGCCACCGCGCAGGTTTGCCGGCACCCCGGTCGCTAATCGAAGTAAGGAAATCTGTATGTGGAAGGCATAGACCAAATCGGGAGCTGCAAAGCGCAGGCAACTTCCATACCATGCGAGTTACCAAAACGTGTCTTGGGTCTTTGCTGTCGGCGAAAGGCGTGAACTTGCGAAGCAGCCCTCTAGACCGGCATTCTTCGTGCATCGGTCATAGCGTGAATCACACCACTCCGCTCCTCGGCACCCGTTCAGGCAGAAGTGTGTCGTGCCTACACAAGGCTTCCGCAGGTCTCTGCGCGGATCTTTGGCAGTCCGCCAGTATCAAAGAGTCCCTGATGGCCCTCACTCGGATAAACTCGCTTGCCTCGGGCTTCTCCGCTATTGAAAGGACAGTCGGCGAAGCGCAGGCTCTCCGAGTGAAAATGCAACCGGATCATCGCCCCAGTCCAGACCCGGGGCGGCCCTGTGCATCATGAAGCACTTACTGGTCACCGCACTCCCACGCCAGCGCGAGTCTTGCGCGGGGCTCGTCATTGGTTGATTTCGATCCTGCCGGGGAAGTTGCCTGCTATTGGCTTTCCAAGTCAGGCACCGCGAGCCTGGCCAGATGTTCGTCAAGAAATTGCGCGTTGCGCTTTCAGACAGGTGTTTGATTTCGAAACCCGAGTGGCGATCCGGATGCCACCTCGCGAGACTTCCGGTGTGAACCTGCGATTTTGTCTTGCTCATGTCGTAGGCTTGCGGTGGGTCTGACAACGAGTTCAGGCAAGTCACATGTCGAACCAGTGGTCTTGCTGCGCGGCGCCACTGCTTTGAACACACACAATACGCCCACAGGACGCGCCTAAAGCACAGGAGCGACAACGACCCGCAAGGTGCCCAATCCCAGTCACCCCCCTAACCAAGGCCGCCCGAAGGTGACAGCTCCCATAGATCCGAATTGTTGAGGAGAGTCCAGAAGAACAGCAAAAGAAAAGCTGCATTTGCTGATCTGAGAATGTGGGTGCAAGTGTGTGTGTGTGTGTGTGTGTGTGTGTGTGTGCACCGAAAGAATTGCAAGCCAGCGCTACTTAGCCAGCGAAATCGTCCTCTAGGCTACCCAGGCTTGAGCCAAGTTGCAGTGTGGCTTGGCGCAGCCACTCCAAACGATCCTGGAGATGGGCTTTCCACCTCCATGCGATGCATTTGGCCACCCCACGCCACCAACCTCAACCGAGCCGCTCGGTGACAAAGCTCCAAAAGAAAACCTTCTGGGGGGGCGAGCTTGTCCGACTCGTACCAAAGGTACAAGCCGCGATGCAACCCCGAAGTCCTCTGTATGCTCTAATTACCGCTGCTGATTTCTACAAGGCACCTGGCTGCGCTCCTGCCCCGATGCAAACGTCACTAGTGCACATCGCTAGCGCGCCATAAAGCGCCTATCTCGAAAACACGACCCACGTACTGGTCGGTCCATTGGCGGAGCCCCCCATTGCACTGAAGAACAAGCGCAAATACCGAAGAAATAGACAAAGGTCTTCAGCTCTTTGACCGTCAAGCGTGGGAAGGCCTCCTTGCGGCGTTCCACTGGCTTGTGGTTGCTTCTCGGCTACTGTCTCTTCTACGCCACCTGGATGTTGGTCGGGTGACCCTCTCCCTCCCCCTCCCCCCTCCCCCTCCCCCCCCCTCCCCCCTTCTCCCCCCCTCCTCCGACAAGGGACGGGTCTGGTGGTCGATTTGTGACGCTCAGGTGGAGAAGAAGCGGGCCAGCCGCGGCCAGCCGGTGGAGAGAGATCTGCCGCAGAAGGCGGCAGAGCTCACCACTCACACGGCTGTGGTTGTCAAAACCGTTTTACGGTGATCCCATTTTGGTTGGTAGGTGAATTCACCACCCATTTTAGTCTATTTTACTAGGTGCACCACCCATTTTAGAACTTATTTTAGCTCGAGCGTACTTGGCATAGGACCCTGCTCGACTTGCTTTGGGCCGCGCCACAAGCCATGACGCCTCGCTAAGATAGCAATGCTCTTACTTGCCTCACCGCCGCGAGCAGCCCTTAGGAAAGCTGAAGCTCACTGAAACTAGGGATGCTACGCTAGAGATCGGCCTCTCAAAGATCCAGGTCGCTGCGGAGTTTTCGCTTGGAACACCAGCCCGATGGACATAGCATGAAGAGCTCCGCCTCAAATGACGAGTCACATGCTGGATTGATTGTCGAGCCTCCTTTCTGACACTGCTGTGGTTTGAAATGGGGAGTAGCACAAGCCCGAAGCTGATGTGCACAGAACAGTTGGTGAGGAAAACAATGTTCGGATAGGCTGCCATTTGCAGGTGGCCACAGCATCGCTCGCACATAGCTTGCTGTCTACTCACGCTGATTCAGTTGTTCACTGCCTTGCTTTCTGGAATGCCGGCGTAAAAAACTGGTCCTTGTGGTTTCAGGAAAAAAGAACCATGCTTACAAACCGGTCCCACAATATGGAAGGTCCTCATTTGCAACACGCAGCATGGGATTTGCTTTCTGTTGACGGGACCGGACCTGTAAACTGTCTTGAAAACACAGGACATCGACTGATCATATCGTCTGACCTGATCTGCGCCAGGTTTTCCTGTGCACCTCTGCTGTCAAGAAAGATGAGGATTGCGCAGACGTGCTTCATTTATGTGCCTCCATGCGTTTGATTTGAGCGTTGTGGAACTGTTTGTTGAGACAGCCTTTGACACCATTGATTCATTCTGAGTTGGTGTTGCCTTTTTTTCGTATGTGTGTGTGTGTGTGCGGTCAGACTGACCTACTAGCGTAGCTCAAGCTGCCATAAACTTATTCTACCTAACAATTTGGCATGCTTCGTCGTAGCTTCCCCGTTGTGGCTTCTGCATTTTGTGCTCAAAGCGTTGGCAGCGTGGATCATGTACTCGAGCTTCTTAGGGGATGGGTTGTTTCGGGTGCCAAGCATGAGAGATAGTTGGGCATTCGCTGATTTGGAGGATGGCGTCAACATTGCCATCGATGAGTCAGGCGAAGAGCTCGAATCTGCTTTGCTGAAGGCGCGCTCTTGTCTCATGGCCAATTGAAGCAGAATCTGGAATCTTGACTGGTTGGTGATTTGCTTCGGGTTTTAGCACTTTGGGACGGGAACTACGGCAGTCTTGGCTTGTGGCGCGTTCTTTTTGCTTTGGATTTGGGTGGGGCCATGAACATCTGTAATTTGCAGGTATGACTGGCCACATTTCAATCACTTCGATGTTAAGGGGGGGGGCAACCTTGATGGCATGGCAAATATTCTGCACCACTGTCAGCACATTTGATACCGTGCTTTCTTCACTGGCAGCCTTTGCTCCGACTTGCGGTGCAAAGTCGGCAGCACTTGCTGGATGCGCCTTTTGCCAGGGTGTCCTCCACGTGCGGCATGTCTTACAAGGCCGGTTGTTGAATTGCCTGCTGTGCATGGCTACAATGCACTCATGTCCACGTCATGAAGTATGAAGTACAACACGTAGGAAACTGTGAGGAACGAAAACGTTCAACTGGTCGCCAACTATTGTAAGATGAAATAGGGGCACAAAAGACATCGTATCAAAAAAGAGGAGACACAATCGCATGTCCGACGCGATACTGCACTCGCGTTTTCTACTACGCTCTTGGAGAACATCCTTTTCGCAGCCTTTTCACGATATGGCTATTTATTCATGCTTGACTCCTCTTTATTTCTCAGTGCCCATCTGCTCTCAATCGCATTTGCACGGGCAGTGGCGCGTTGAACGTACTTCTACAGTCTTTGGTCCTCTGTTGAAACCCAAGCTCATCGATCACACCAGAAACAGATGACCAACGTCAGCTTCGCAAGCCACCAACCCACATGGCTAAACTGCCTGCCTGGGCTTCAGCCCTGAGTTGGTTCGTGTGAGTGTGTGCTGGGGAAGTTGGGGATGGGCAAGCAGAGGCTGCTTTCTGATCCGCGCAGGGTTTGCATGCGCGTGTGGATGCATTCCTCTTTGCAGGTTACCATATTCGGCAGAAGATGCCGGCTCTCTTGGAAGTCCTTACTACGGTGTCGTACCAGCAGGCGGGAGGGAGGGGTTGGTGAATGACCCCGAACATTTTCATGCTTCCAACACCTCCGAGCAGAGGTCATCATCTAGTCCCGGAGGCTCCCTTGAGGTCTTCCTTTCATGGACCCCTAAGTGGGGCTACGGGGGGGGTATCTCTGCCTAGGTAAGCCCTTAATAAGGCCTTCTTGAGGGCTTAATAAGGGAGTCACCTGCCCCCCCTCCCCAGTTCACCCCCTCCTCAGTTCAGTTCGCCCCCGCCTCAGTTCGCCCCCCTTTGGGTTCCGTTGATTGTTTTGGCTGGGCTCACAGTATGGTGTCTTGTGTTGAAGTGAGTTAGACTAGAAGGCCAGGCCTCGCTTGCAACAGGCGCGAGCCTACAAAATAACAGGCTCGTCAGGCCTCAAGAGGTGATTGATGTTCGCCCATTCCCCGAACCCAAGCCCAGTCCCTAGAACCGCTGGAAGACAATGAGGCAGGCCAATCTGACGACTTGATGTGTCGTTTTTTGCAGGTACCCCAGTTGGGGCTTGATTGAAGGACTATTAAAGCGAACGCCACATATGTTGTTCCTTTTTTTTTTTTTTTTTTTTCGGTTTTCTTTTCTTTTTTTCTTTTTTTTGGGGGGGGGAGCGTTTTTCCTATTTTAAGACAGCCCCACGATCTGCCCAGCGTTTCTAGGCTCGGAACCGCTTCGGTTCCCTCGAGGCCTTCGTCTTTGTGGGCGACTCCAACAACGCGATCCAAATCGCGGAGATGCTGAACCAGGCGCTCGGGAGACGACGCGAGACGAGAACCGGAACTAGCGGGGGAAAAAGGCACGGGTGTCCATGGACAAGGGTGTGTCATTTTGGGTGTGTCAGTTTTTTAAGGGCGCCCCCCCATTTTTGGGTTGGTGTTAAAGGAAAACTAGTAAAGGAAAACACACACCCATTTGTGGGTCCCCCAAAAATCCATTCATTTGTGGGTCACCATTTGGTTGGTTTTGAAGGAAAACTAGTGAAGGAAAATCCACCCATTTTGTGGGCCCCTGAACACGACACTCCCATTTTGGAGGGGATTTGGGGAGCGATGGCCTAGATTCGCTCCAGCCGCCAGGCGGGAGTCCCAGCGGCTGCCAGCAGTGGAAGGATGGAGCAGTCCTACCGCACACAGGCCATGGTGTTGTCTTTGTTGTCTTTGTCTTTGAACAGTTTTGTTGTCTTTGTTGTCGTCCTGGCTGTGGTTGTCGTCCTGGCTGTGGTTGTTGTTGTGGCTGTGGTTGTGGTTGTTGTTGTGGTTGTCGTCCTGGCTGTGGTTGTTGTTGTGGCTGTGGTTGTGGTTGTTGTTGTGGTTGTCGTCCTGGCTGTGGTTGTTGTTGTGGCTGTGGTTGTCGTCCTGGCTGTGGTTGTCGTCCTGGCTGTGGTTGTTGTTGTGGCTGTGGTTGTGGTTGTTGTTGTGGCTGTGGTTGTTGTTGTCGTCCTGGCTGTGGTTGTTGTTGTGGCTGTGGTTGTGGTTGTTGTTTGTCGTCCTGGCTGTGGTTGTTGTTGGGCTGTGGTTGTGGTATGTTGTGGTTGTCGTCCTGGCTGTGGTTGTTGTTGTGGCTGTGGTTGTGGTTGTTGTTGTGGTTGTCGTCCTGGCTGTGGCTGTTGTTGTGGCTGTGGTTGTCGTCCTGGCTGTGGTTGTCGTCCTGGCTGTGGTTGTTGTTGTGGCTGTGGTTGTGGTTGTTGTTGTGGTTGTCGTCCTGGCTGTGGTTGTTGTTGTGGCTGTGGTTGTGGTTGTTGTTGTGGTTGTCGTCCTGGCTGTGGTTGTTGTTGTGGCTGTGGTCGTCCTGGCTGTGGTTGTCGTCCTGGCTGTGGTTGTTGTTGTGGCTGTGGTTGTGGTGTTGTTGTGGTTGTCGTCCTGGCTGTGGTTGTTGTTGTGGCTGTGGTTGTGGTTGTTGTTGTGGTTGTCGTCCTGGCTGTGGTTGTTGTTGTGGCTGTGGTTGTGGTTGCTGTTGTGGTTGTCGTCCTGGCTGTGGTTGTTGTTGTGGCTGTGGTTGTGGTTGTTGTTGTGGTTGTCGCCCTGGCTGTGGTTGTTGTTGTGGCTGTGGTTGTGGTTGTTGTTGTGGTTGTCGTCCTGGCTGTGGTTGTGGTTGTGGTTGTGGTTGTGGTTGTTGTTGTGGTTGTCGTCCTTGCCTGTGGTTGTTGTGGCTGTGGTTGTGGTTGTTGTTGTGGTTGTCGTCCTGGCTGTGGTTGTTGTTGTATGTGGTTGTATGGTTATGGTTGTCGCCCTGGCTGTGGTTGTTGTTGTGGCTGTGGTTGTCGTCCTGGCTGTGGTTGTCGTCCTGGCTGTGGTTGTTGTTGCGCTGTGTTGCTGTTGTTGTGGTTGTCATCCTGGCTGTGGTTGTTGTTGTGGCTGTGGTTGTGGTTGTTGTTGTGGTTGTCGTCCTGGCTGTGGTTGTTGTTGTGGCTGTGGTTGTCGTCCTGGCTGTGGTTGTCGTCCTGGCTGTGGTTGTTGTTGTGGCTGTGGTTGTGGTTGCTGTTGTATATCGTCCTGGCTGTGGTTGTTGTTGTGGCTGTGGTTGTGGTTGTTGTTGTGGTTGTCGTCCTGAAGGTGGTTGTTGTTGCTGTGGCTGTGGTTGTCGTCCTGCTGTGGTTGTCGTCCTGGCTGCGGTTGTTGTTGTGGCTGTTGATGGTTGTTGTTGTATGTCGTCCTGGCTGTGGTTGTTGTTGCGGCTTTGGTTGTGGTTGTTGTTGTGGTTGGGCCCTGGCTGTGGTTGTTGTTGTGGCTGTGGTTGTGGTTGTGGCTGTGGTTGTCGCCCTGGCTGTGGTTGTTGTTGTGGCTGTGGTTGTGGTTGTTGTTGTGGTTGTCGTCCTGGCTGTGGCTGTTGTGGCTGTGGTTGTGGCTCTGTTGCTGGTGGCCGTCCTGGCTGTGGTTGTTGTTGTGGCTGTGGTTGGTTGTTGTTGTGGTTGTCGTCCTGGCTGGGGTTGTTGTTGAAGTAGTTATGCGGTTGTCGTCCTGGCTGTGGTTGTTGTTGTGGCCGTGGTTGTGGTTGCTGTTGTATTGGTCGTCCGGCTGTGGTTGCTGTTGTGGCTGTGGTTGTGGTTGTTGTTGTGGTTGTCGTCCTGGCTGTAATATGTTGTGGCTGTGGCTGTGGTTGCTGTTGTGGTTGTCGTCCTGGCTGTGGTTATGCTGTATGGCTGTGGTTGTTGTCGTGGTTGTCGTCCTGGCTGTGGTTGTTGCTGTGGCTGTGGTTGTGGTTGTTGTTGTGGTTGTCGTCCTGGCTGTGCTTGTCGTCCTGGCGTTGTGGTTGTTGTTGTGGTTGTCGTCCTGGCTGTGGTTGTCGTCCTGGCTGTGGTTGTTGTGGCTGGTGGTTGTGGTTGTTGTTGTGGTTGTCGTCCTGGCTGTGGTTGTTGTTGTGGCTGTGGTTGTGGTTGTCGTGGTTGTCGTCCTGGCTGTGGTTGTTTTTGTATGTGGTTGTGGTTGTTGTGGTTGTCGTCCTGGCTGTGGTTGTTGTTGTGGCTGTGGTTGTGGTTGTTGTTGTGGTTGTCGTCCTGGTCGTGGTGTTGCTGTGGCTGTGGTTGTGGTTGCTGTTGTGGCTGTCGTCCTGGCTGTGGTTGTCGTCCTGGCTGTGGTTGTTGTTGTGGCTGTGGTTGCGGTTGCTGTGGTTGTCGTCCTGGCTGTGGTTGTTGTTATGGCTGTGGTTGTGGTTGTTGTGGTTGTCGTCCTGGCTGTGCTTGTTGTTGTGAAGGTGGTTGTGGTTGTTGTTGTGGTTGTCGTCCTGGCTGCTGTAGTTGTTGTTGTGGCTGTGGCTGTGGTTGCTGTTGTGGTTGTCGTCCTGGCTGTGGTTGTTGTTGCGGCTGTGGTTGGGGGGTTGTTGTGGTTGTCGTCCTGGCTGTGGTTGTTGTTGTGGCTGTATTGTGGCTGTTGTTGTGGTTGTCGTCCTGGCTGGTGGCTGGTCATCCGGCTGTGGTTGTTGCTGTGGCTGTGGTTGTGGTTGTTGTTGTGGTTGTCGTCCATGGCTGTTGTGGCTGTGGTTGTGGTTGTTGTCGTGGTTGTCGTCCTGGCTGTGGTTGTTGTTGTGGCTGTGGTTGTGGTTGTTGTTGTATTGCTGTCCTGGCTGTGGCAGCGTTGTGGCTGGGGTTGTGGCGTTGTTGTTGTGGTTGTCGTGTCCTGGCTGTGGTTGTTGTTGTGGCTGTGGTTGTGGTTGTTGTTGTGGTTGGTCCGTCCTGGCTGTGGCTGTCGTCCTGGCTGGTGGGTTGTTGTTGCGCTGTGGTTGTGGTTGTTGTTGTGGCTGTAGTTGTTGTTGTGGCTGTGTTGTGGTTGTTGTTGTGGTTGTCGTCCTGCTGTGGTTGTTGTTGTGGTTGTGGTTGTGGTTGTTGTTGTGGTTGTCGTCCTGGCTGTGGTTGTTAGGGCTGTGGTTGTGTTGTTGCTGTGGTTGTCGTCCTGGCTGTGGTTGTTGTTGTGGCTGTGGTTGTGGTTGTTGTTGTGGTTGTCGTCCTGGCTGTGGTTGTCGTCCTGGCTGTGGTTGTTGTTGTAGCTGTGGTTGTAGCTGTTGCTGTGGTTGTCGTCCTGGCTTGTGGTTGTTGTTGTGGTTGTCGCCTGGCTGTGGTTGTTGTTGTGGCTGTGGTTGTGGTTGTTGTTGTGGTTGTCGTCCTGGCTGTGGTTGTTGTTGTGGCTGTGGTTGTGGTTGTTGTTGTGGTTGTCGTCCTGGCTGTGGTTGTCGTCCTGGCTGTGGTTGTTGTTGTGGCTGTGGTTGTGGTTGTTGTTGTGGTTGTCGTCCTGGCTGTGGTTGTTGTTGTGGCTGTGGTTGTGGTTGTTGTTGTGGTTGTCGTCCTGGCTGTGGTTGTTGTTGTGGCTGTGGTTGTGGTTGTTGTTGTGGTTGTCGTCCTGGCTGTGGTTGTTGTTGTGGCTGTGGTTGTGGTTGTTGTTGTGGTTGTCGTCCTGGCTGTGGTTGTTGTTGTGGCTGTGGTTGTCGTCCTGGCTGTGGTTGTTGTTGTGGCTGTGGTTGTGGTTGTTGTTGTGGTTGTCGTCCTGGCTGTGGTTGTTGTTGTGGCTGTGGTTGTGGTTGTTGTTGTGGTTGTCGTCGTGGCTGTGGTTGTTGTTGAGCGGGTTCGGTCGGTTGGGTGGGTCGGTGGGTTGGTTGGTTGGTTTGTCGGTTGGTTGGTTGGTTGGTTGGTTGGCTGGCTGGCCGGCTGGCTGGCTGGCTGGTTGGTTGGTTACTTGGTTGGCTGGTTGGTTGGTTGGTAGGTATAGTTGTTGTTGCAGTTTAGTTGTCGATGTAGTTGCCGATGTTACGATCCTGGTTGTTGTGCTGGTTGTGGCTGCTGTTGTTCTTGCTTGTTTTTGTTTTTTTTTGGTGTCGTTCTCGTTTCTTTTTGCTGTTCTGTCCTTCTTCTCGTGTAATTCTTCACTAGATTGTGCTTCTCATTTCCCTTTTTCCCCTTCGCATCCCCTTGTCTTCTCTTCATGCAACTGCTGCGATGAGCATCAACAGTGATCTGACTGTCAGGCATTTGCTGGCTTGAAGCGCTTTCAGTACAGAGTGCTCGTTTGCACCGTCCCAAGCTCAGTTTTGCATGGCCAGGGCTGCCAGACACGAGCAGCACTTCTATGCAACTAGGGAGGACATACATGGATTGTAGTTTTTTCTTTTTGAGGGTACCCCGTTCGACTTCCAGGTTTGTCTCAAAATAGGGGCTTCCTGAAAATAGGGATTTCTCGTGCTCTCGCTTCAAGCCAACCCTGAAAGGGGAATCATCAACACGAAGGCAACGTGGAAAAATGGGGGGGGGGTCTGCATGGCTGCTTGGTCGATCTCACGCACAGCAAAACACAGCCTCACCCAGCAAGAATTAAGAGTTCTTTCCTCGTGGTCGCCTTTTTCAGACCAGTGAATTGCGGTGGTTCAAGCAGAATACAAAGAACCGCTAGGAGCTGTAAAGCAGGACAGATTTTCGAAGGGACCTCCAGTCTGACAAACATCAGCTTGTGGCCATACTGCAACCAGGACATCAAAGACATGAAGCAGGTATCAATCTCCAATAGCTCAGATTCATTGTCTCCCACACAGTGACGGGGTAGAGCTGCCCGTGGCGGCACAGAAAGCGTCATGGGCTCCTTGGATGGTGACTTTGCAGCGGACGAAGCGGTGGCCCTTCTCTTGATTTGCCAGGGCTTGGAGCAGGTCTTCTGTGAGACAGTGCCAGACATCCGCACCCAGATTCTGCTGAGCGGCGGTGTGGATGGTGAGGCGTCCGTGGGCAAGGTGCTGGCCAGCGCCAGCGAAGCTGAGTTGCTGCGGCTCAGCGTGCATCCAGGGGTTCAAAGCTCTTTTGCCCTGCTCCTGGCGCGAAGGTTGGACCCGGACCTGTCGGAGCTGGCCAAGGCGCTGGAGGCCTCGCCCCGCTGGCCGGCGGCGCTGTCCTTGTGGCGCGCCAGCGCGCCCCTGCGCTGGCCCACAGTGCAGGAGGAGTTTGCTCCAGAGATCCGGGCGCGGATGATGAGGGCGCGCAGCGCGCGCGGCGTGCGCTTCCGTGGCAGCGCGGTGAGGGACGGGCGGCACGACTTCGAGGCGGGGGAGGTGATGGGCAAACTCGGCGGCGCTGCCAAGCGCCGAACCGGGTGGGAGGTGTCCCTGACCAAGTACGACACAGAGGTCTTTGCAGTGGTTTGCGGCCAGGTGGTGGTGGTGGGTTTGCCGCTTTTCCCCGAGTGGCGGGGCGCAGCCTCTGGGCTCGCTGAGCGCCCGGAGCGTTTCTTCGTGCTGCCTCGCGAGGTCAGGCCGTACCTTCGGCCAGATGTGCACATCAACTACGGCCGAATGAGGTTGCGGCCTTCCACCTGCTTCTTGCTGCTGCAGTTAGCGAAGGTCAAGGCTGGCGATGTGCTCCTCGATCCGATGGGTGGAGTGGGCACCATTGCTATAGAGGCGGCTGTGCGCTTCGAGCGCTTGGCTGCGATCTCCTCGGACTTGTCCGCGGACGCGACGACGGCAGCCGCGAAAAATGCGGCGGCGGCGGAGCGCTTCCTCGCAAGTGGGGCCAGCGTGCGTGTGGCGCAGGAGGATGTGCGGCGGCTGTCCTTGGCTGATGCCTCTGTGGATGCCGTCGTGAGCGATGTGCCCTTCGGCAACCGCAACCGCCTGGTTTGGGTGAACGGGCTGCTTCCCGCTATGATAAGCTCTGTGGCGCGGGTGCTGCGGCCTTTCGGGCGCCTGGTGTTGCTGCTCACGCGCGCCCATGCGCGGCAGCTGCTGCAGCTGCTGGAGGGCGAGGCCGTTTTTCAGCTGCTGGAGAGCCACAAGGTGGCGGTGGGCGGTTGGCCCGCGGCGGTCCTGGTACTTCAGCGTCTGGAGGGGGACGTCAGGACCAAGAGCGACAGGCAGAACTCCGCCCGCGCCGCGGAGACGGAGCCCACAGAGTGTGTGCTGATGGAGTGCCCGCTGCAGGACCAACAGCTCTCGGACTGCCTGCTGCAGCGCTGGCCCTCCCACTTCCCCACGGAGTCCGTGGCGCGGCGGGTCACGGGCCGAGGCCGTGTCTGGGTGAAGGACGCCTCAGTTTGGCGGAAGGGGTGGTGGAGCGAGCCCGTGTGCCAGAAGACCATCCTGTTTGTGCCGGACTATCCTCGCAGATCCCCGCACAAGGGTGACTTGACGATACTGTGCGACACCTCCCAGCTGTGCGTGGTGGTCAAGGAGCCCGGCCTGCGGCTCTTCGGGGGCGTGAGAACCCTCCAGAGCTTGCTCCAGGCCAGTTGCCTGAGCTCTGACCTGAAGGATGCCTTCCCCTACCCACAGCCAGTGCACTTTTTGGAGGCGGATGTGGGCGGCTGCGTGCTGTGCGCCAAGACGGCCTCGGCGGCCTTTGCGCTGGCCGGTGGCAGCTTGAACCGGACCTGGCGGGGGCTCTTCGTGGAGAAGCCGCCAGAGGGCTGGCAGGAGGTGCGTCAGGCCCCCTCCGTGCGCTTCGGGCGGCTGGTGGAGGCGGAGATTTGCTACGACGGCGCCGGGGCGGCGCTGCGGCAACGGTGCGGGGTCCTCAAGGCGCCGCTGCTGGGGGACACCGCCGCCGGATTTACCCAGGCGACGCTGCGCAGGCGTCAGGTCTTCCTGGTGGTCAGTGGCGTCACCTTCGACTTTGAGGGCGAGCACACAGTGTCCTTACCAGAAGGTTCCGTGCGGCGCTTCGAGCATCTCTTCGCACGTGAGGCTCACGTGTACCAGCTGGAGAGCAATCGTTTAGCAGAAGAAAAACAACACATGCCCCTTGCCGCTTTGTTGAGGGACGATTTTGCAGGCAACTTTGCCAGGCGGCTTGTTGGCACATTGTTTAGAAGCTTGGCAAGTCAGGAAGCTGGATGACCATGCAATGACTAACAGATGGCACATTGAGCCATCAAGCTGATCTATAGCAAAGAAACAACTATCATGATTTATCTCTGGCCTTTGGGGTCGCTCATTCTTTGGGGCTCCTTGTCTTAGATGGCTGTGGCTCAAAACCGTTTTGGATTTGATTTTGGTTGGTAGGTGAATGCACCACCCATTTTAGGGTTCCTATTTTAGTGGTTGGATTGGTTGATGTTCACTCATGGCCAAATCTCTTCCCACGTGCCGGGACCGGAGCCACTCGATCCGCGTCCGAGGATCTCATGGCGCGCGGCATCGACGCCGAGAACGTGGACATCGTGGTGAACCTGGATTTGCCCACGGAGAAGGTACGCGTCTGAGAGGCGGTTCCGCTGGGTTTCACGAGAGCCGGAACTAAGAGCCCCAGTCAGAGACCAAGAAGAACCCAACAAATCCCCGATTCGGCAATCAACCTGCCACTTAAATCCTTTGCTTAGGCAGCAAACAGACACCGACAGCTTCGATTCGGCAACCATAATCCCACGCCTCAGCAACAGAAGCGATTCGGCTTTCAAAACCTCTCACAATCATAAGTCCCAAAATGCCATTCAGAAATGAGCACCACTCACTTCCTCCCGAGCACCCACACTGCTTACATAACCGCAGCTCAGAGGACACTGAATCCAGGTTCACCCGAGCAGCACTGCAGACGTGACAGATCGGTGTGCAAGCCATCTTGGGTTTTCCGTATCCCAATTCAATTTGTTCGGTTCAAGTTTCGCCCAGTGGATCCCAGTTCCTGCGTACCGTTTTTCCTCCTTTGGCTTAGGCTTCCATTGGTTGTCTACTATACAGTCGGCTTTGAATTCTGCGGAATGTCTGAATCTGGCTGTTTGGTTTCAAACACATGCTTGATTTCCGAATCAGACGTTTTGGTTCCCAAATCATGCATAGTTTTGGAATCACATTGTTTGGTTTCCAAAGCATGCTTGGTTGCTAGATTAGATGTTTGGGTGTTTGAATCATGGTGTCAAGTTTCCGCAACATCTTGTTGGGTTGTCAACATGGGTTTGGGTTTTCTGAATTGTGTTTGGATTCCGCATCAGAAACTGCGAGCATTAGACTCCCCACTGAAACAACCTCCTCGTTGAACGAGGTTATTTGGAATACGGCCGTCGGCATGACTTTGACTTTACTTGAGCTTATTGTAAGTTTTGCAGATTTGTTGCATCAATAGTGGCCCCTTCTATTTCGTGGCGCAGCTCAGGAAACTAAATGCGAGCATTGGGTGTTTCTCTTATTTGGCACCTTAGCTTTTTTTTGGACACTATGGAATCCGGAATTTCTTTTCTTCCGGATTTGGAGTCCTGGGGCGAGGAGACGTACCTCCACCGCAGCGGCCGGACCGCCCGCTTCGGCTCGGTGGGGTGGATGGTGTCCCTGGTCTTTGAGGGGGATGAGGCCGGGCGCTTCATCGCTGCGAGGGCCCAAGCTCAGTGGTTCAGTGGCACCCCTTCTTTTTCCAATTTTTTTTCTGGGTAGTGAAGACCACTAAAAATGGTCTTCCCCAAAAAGGGTTTTTCTTTTTTTTCCAGGGTCACTGAACAACTGAGTAAAGGCAGAATCTTCGGCATTGAGGTTGGTCAACATTCCGTTCAAGGCCCTCAAATGACTATGGGTCACTTTTCCCATGTGGCACATGTCATCATTTGTGAGGTTTACCCCAATGGTCGTCCCATGAAAAGGACTCTTGGATCAACACATGGGTGTGGCTCAAAGCTAAAGAATTTTCGGGCTACGCAAGTTTTCGTCTTTGGTTTCATTTACCGAGGTGCCATCTTGGTACATCTTTTTGAGCCAGAGGCAACTGGCGTGAAGATGAATGCCAATTTTGATCAATGCTGACAACTGTCAGCAAATTCTGCTCGGGCCTGTTCTTCGCCAAGTAGATCCCGCTATATATTATTTATCACGAAGTTCGGAAGTCGAGCCAAGAGGTCCGTCCCATGCATAGTGACACATCTGAGCGTACGCCAGCGCAACCCAGGGCTAGGTGTTTGCCAGCAAAGCCCCCGGAACTGCTTGAGGAAGGCACCGTTGAAATACCTCGGAGGGTGGATTGCGTTTTGGCATATGTCCAGGTCCGCAACTTGAGATGTCCCGAACGTTTTGGAACCCCGCTGAGGCACCTGCCCGGATTCTTCGTAGGTGATGCGATTACGCGACCATTGCAGGCCGAGCACTTGAACTACTTCCAGGTGCAGCTGGGCTTCGAGTTGGTGGACTACGCGGATCGCGAGGCCTGGCCTTCGGCCTTCGGCCTTCGGCGTGGGATCCGAGGGCTTGCCTCGTGGCTTTGGGAAATTTGCGCACACGCACACCCGAAGGCAGAATGACGTTGCCCTACTTTGTGCCAGTGGTGCTAGACTTCAACATCGCAGCGTTTTGAGGTTTTGATCATGTTGGGATCGCGCCAGAAATTGGGAACTCAAAGATCTGGTTCCCAATGGCGTGCAAATGTGGAATTGGCAGACACACCGTTCTGACCAATTTGCAGCAAGTCTGTAGGCACTGTGTCGCAGCCAACTTCAAGTGGACACTCAAACAACGCTTTATCTCGATACTTTGTTGGTCACGATTGAGAAACCCAAACAAGGGCAAGACCAATGGACGCACTACAGAGCCTCACTGCGAGCATTCAGTTTACAGCAAAGTTTATAGAAAAGACACAATCCTGTGCCCACGCCATGTGATGCAGGCGGCTATGTCCTCCAGACTCCAGCAATTGGATTTCAAGGCAGGGAGGCACTCCACAGCGCCCGAGGTTTGAAGTTTGCATCACTGACACCATGTTTCGCCGATCCAACTGGACCCGGCCAGATTCCTGCGGATGCCACATCCTCGGAGAATATTATATAGACGACTCATGAATCAGTATCTCAGGGGGTTCGCAGCCAATCTGTTTCTTGAAGCAAACAAGCAAATAATTCCAAAGTCCACCCTCGACAGGCAGCTTTGCCTGTCTGCAGGATGCAAAGTTGGGTCCCACACCAGAAGAGATGGTGCTGACCTCAGCCATGAGTGAGCTATTTGCCGTCTCCTTTTGGATTGCACTTGGGGGTCAAGTGGCCGTGGGTCAACACCAATGGTACCATTTGGGGGTTTTCGGTGCACGATCCATTTCAGAACCTATTTTAGTGGTTGGATTGGTTGATGTTCACTGGGGGCTAACCGATTTGGGATTTGAGCCATGGCCAAGCAGTGGATACGGATCTGCAAACCTTCGGCACGGTTGCGCGGCCCATGGGAAATGCCGAGGAGCGCTTTCCGCAGGAGTCGTTTCCTGTGCCTCAGACCGGCGGCAACGAAGTTGGTTGGGGTCTAGGACTCACGGGGGTGCCAATGCAGAATTCGGGAGATGGATTGTACATGATTGTACAAGGTCAAATGTGAGTATTACTCTACATATGTTTTGAGGCCTGTTGGTTTGATGCTTGCTTGCTTTGCTTGCTTTGCTTGCTTTGCTTGCTTTGCTTGCTTGCTTGCTTTGCTTTGATTTGCTTTGCTTTGCTTGCTTTGCCTTGCCTTGCCTTGCCTTGCCTTGCCTCGCCTTGCCTTGCCTTGCCTTGCTTTGCTTTGCTTTGCTTTGCTTTGCTTTGCTTTGCCTGGCTGCCTGCCTGCCTGCCTGCCTGCCCTTGCTTGCTTGCCTGCCTGGTTTGTTTGTTTGTTTTTCTGCCTGCTTAGCTCGTTACTTAGTTACTTGGCTTGTTTGTTTGTTTGTTTGTTTGTTTGTTTGTTTGTTTGTTTGTTTGCGTTGTTTGTTTCTTCTTTTGTTTTTCTTCTTTGATGTATCCGTCTGCATAGGCTGTCTGTGACTTAGCGAGGGTCGACTGGAGTCGCTCAGTCATGCTTCAGTGGTTTCTTTTCAGGGAGCAGCCACCAGAGACAGCTTCCACATTTCTGACGCACTTCATAAAGATTCAGCGCGCAAGCTCAACAGAACTATAACAAGGCCACCGTCGAAGCGGTTTGCCATTCACTTCGATTGAGGCACTTCGATTGAGGTGTCAAGGCCATCGGGGCCCTGCTTCTTCTCAAAACGCAAAGCATGAGCTTCCGTTTCAACCACCTTGCAGATCATACTGTGAAAGATGCCATAGGTCCCACAGCTCGGCGCAGGACCCACAAAGACAAAGAAGAAACGAAGCCTGCCAAAGTCAGCAGGCGTGGCAGGTCTAGTTTCCAGCGTGTGCCTTTCTGTGTGTGTGTGTGTGGGGCTTTTGTGGTCTTGAAGACAAAAACCCAAAGGACAGCCACCATCTGGTTTGGTGGGGGGGGGGTCCAACCTCAGAAAGACGCGCCACCCACATTTTTTCATGATTGATTCGCCTACCCGGAATGCAGACATCCTACTGCCCGAGAGAAAAGACACGGGCAGATTGCATGTTGATATTATGAATGGCACGCTTTGAAGCCATGGCTGGAGTTTCGTCCATCCACAGAGAATGACATCATCTAATACAAGCTTAGCATGGTTCCTATACCATTCTGTTTTGATACTTCTGCTTATGTCCCTTTGCCTGTAGCAAGCAAAATCTAATCCAGGGGTCAACGCGCAGCCGCGGGGTCAGGACCCAAAGAGCAAGTGAAGGATGGCTTCGGTTCCAAAAGAACGGGACTAACGGAGGCGATGCGGATGGAGGGGCCCAAAGAAGCTTCGGGCTTGGCCGATTGAATGCGAAGGAAGACTTTGAATGTGAGGAGTGCACTTGGATGGATAGACCTGTGGCATCTTCTCAGACAACCGGTAAACAAACAAAAATGCCTAAGCTTGACCAAGCTTGCAGAGAAAAAGAGCAGCATCATTTGTTTTAGGGCAGTGGGAGCTTTGAACTTCTCTTGAACCACTGCAAAGGTCGCACCACGGCCACACCAAGCCGATCCAGGACAGCTGGCAACAGTTGGGTGAGAGCTGGGCTTTTCATAACATGTTCTGCTTTGCTGTCCGAAGGCTGTTCCAGGTTTTGCTTTCTGCCGCCCGTTTGCGGTAGGTGTTCTTGCATTCCAGCAAACAGCTGCGAGGCAAATGGGTTGTGTACCCTGCCTAGCAAATTGCTGATAGCAAGTGGAGCATCCTGGACTCCCTGCGCAGACCTCTTCAGGTGCTAGAAGATCTGATCCCGGTGAAGGTTTGATGATTTCGGGGCCGGATCTAAGCTGCGTCTCATGACTTGGCTCGGATAGGCGAATAGGTCAAAGAACTCAGATGCCTTGTGAGCGTGCAGATGTTGAGCGTCGACTTCTGAAACGCATTATCTTGCAGGTTCGATCAGATGAGAACTGGAACGACCCCAAGAAAACCTTCCTATTCCCGATTTGGCTTCCTTTCGGGAATTTTCGTGTCCTGAGAACCAGTTCATTTCCCAAATTCATCCTTCGAGCGAGTTGAGATCTGAGCATCAGATTCAGGCTTCCCCAGTTTCTCGGCTCCAAGCTCGGTACCTCAGAGTCGATCGCAGGCGAGCAGCGAGCGAGGGGAGAGACTAATGGGTATGTCTCAAAGGGGAAGCCCCGAAGTGGCAACGGTTTCCTTTTGGTTTCCCTCTAGCACTCCAAAAGGGGTACCCTGAAAAAGAAGACACCCAGTTAGCTTCAAGTGGGAATCGTGCGGGTAAAAGAAAAGCCGGTGTCTTGGGTAAATGAATCCGGCTTTACATTGAGGGGAACATCCTGATTGGACACCAAGCGCCACATCATCTCTCCCGAACAGGTTTGTGTGTGTGGGTCACGTGTTTGGAATATCAATATCGAATTAAATCATTCGCGTGGATGGGCCGCGCACGCAGGGAAGAAACAGCGTCGTCAAGCGCATGGGTTCACTGAGCATGCCCCCCCCCCCTTGGGCTTGTTTTGGTATTGGCCGGACGGCCTCGCCTCGGGAGTCTCGCGACTTCGCTTTTCACATGGGTGCGGCTGAAAATTAAAGACCTGGGGCAAACCGCAGGTTTCAGTCCTTGGCTCCACTTGCCTTTTGTTGCCATGGGCTCCATTTATTTGAGCAGCCACAGGCGACGACGTCGTCCGAGTCGCTGGCCGTGGGGCTCGAGCTGAGGCCCTCCAGCCCCTGCTGCGGCACCAGATCCGAGGCGCGCGTGGGCGAAGCGCTCCACGGGGTCGCAGCCAAGAGGCGCTTGACGTTCCGCCGCGCGCCTTGGGCCTTGGGGATGGCAAACTTGACCACGAACCCGACCAGGCCGATATTTCGCAAGTCCTCGAGTTTGCCATGCGTGCCGCTTTGCATCTGTTTCAAGCTAAACATGATGTCAGAGAGTACCGTCGCTGTGCACAGTTTTGGCGAGGCTTGTATGCAAATGATGCGTAGCGTTCCTGGAAAGTTACGGGCCCGGCCGGAGGTTAAACCAAGCATATTGAAAGCGAGCTGAGCTGAGGCAGCCATTCAGTTGCTCTCCAGTCCACTAGCATTGAACCAGACTTTTTGGCGAAGAGGATTTGAGTTCAGGGATCCATTTGGTGGGTTCCACCGTGGACGCTGGCCGCGTGCCAGGCAGTTTCTTGCGAGCCACATGGCCAAGCTTGGGCTATTGGCTCCACCAGTCCTGGCCACAGGCGGTTGACACCTGCGGTTTCATGCATGCCTGAGGCTGGGTTTTGGGTGCCTAGACGCTTCTATGCTTTATGTTCCTCTAGTTTTAAAGGGAATCTATTGTGGCTCCATGGCAAAACATTTGCTCTGCGCGTAGGGCTGTTGGGTTATTGAATTTCAGCAAGAATCAGCGGTGAGTATTCTTAGATTTTTTGGCTATCTGCTAGTTTTTGCCAATCCGCAAACAACGGCACGCTTTTCCTTGGTTGGATCTCTGGCACATTTCTTTGCGGTGACTCATACCGGAGTTTCAGGTCCTGCCTCCTGGAAATCTGAGCCCAGAGATCCAGGCCGGTGGGAGAGATGAACAAAGCTTAAGCCAATCGGATCCCTGTTAAGGGAATCATGTCAGTCCCCATGCACATAGAGTTGTTTCCCCAGCACAGAATTGTGCTCTTGTTCCTTTTGTCCAACAAGTCATGGCAAGTTACTTTGCGCTATAGGACATTCTCCAACAAGAACAAAGGCTTAACATCTTCTTGCGGTTGAGTGCGACAGATTGTATATGTGTAATTGTTGTCATGACCAAGCTTCTCCGCGAGCGAAACAACCGACAATTTGTGTCAAACACATCTATGTCCTGTGTTTGCACAGCAGGGACAGGGGCGTCAGCAAACCATGGCTGTATGTGTAGTTCGCCCTTAGAATTGGTCAATCAGTGTGTGCTGATCCCAACGATAATCTGAGTAGTACGTTTTACGTTTGGATGATATAACTCTTAAGTCTGAAGGAGCAGAAAGCGCAAGTTTTAACCGCCCGGCTGAACATCGTCAAGCTTCGCTGGGGCTGGTACCATAGTTGGTATTTTCCTTGGCAGTGGACCTTTTGACTATGGCTCGCTTGTGTGGTTTGTGAAGATGGGTAGACCATAAGAAACTTGAAGACGTAGTAGGCCAGCCATTCGTAACAGTTGTAGTGGTGTTGTGAAACGTGCGTGTGTGTGTGAGAGAACGTGCGCTGAGCAAAGACGGGCACAAAGAGACAGCAGTTGTATTCCAATATGTCTCCATCGGAATTGGCATTTTTTCTTTGTTTAGAATGTTGTATTTCACTGGCATGGGACATGTTTAGAGCAGAGTCGCGCTGGCGTTTGTTACTCTGCCAAGCGAAAAACATGTTTTGTTGTCTCAGCTTTAAGGATCCACACTTTCTGTATAAATCGGAGGATCTAGACAGATATCCTACCAGTTGAAACTGCTCAGTATCTAAAGCTGCCAGCAACCTCTTAGTGAAATCTGCTGAATATCTAAAGCCAGCAACCAGATCTACCAAAACCTCCCTGGACGCTGAGGCCGCCCTTCCCGCCTGGGAGCCCTGGATGCTGGACTGCAACTTCGCAGCCTGGCAGAAAGGCCGCTAGAGACGGTCCAAGAGGCTCAAGCAGAAGGGGAACTCGGATGAGTTCTTCGTTTTTTTTGTTGGGTTGGTTTGATCTGGTTGAAGAACTGCCTAAAGAACTGTCGGGTTGGTTTGAACTGTTTTTTTTGTATTTTTTCAGGGAAATCGCCATCCAGGTTGTTTGCCGGTGAATGTGAGCAGAGGTCTTGCTGGATTGTGCTTTGACCAAGTGGTCAGTGGACAGCTGTGCCCAGCTGAGGCGAAGTATGCTGAGCAGCAAAGTCCTGCTGGCCAGATGTTTTTGACATGCCTCAGCGACAGCACCAGAAATCGTGGAGGTCTCAGTTGTTCAGAGCACCCGCTCACGCCACGCACACCCACACACCCCCACCCCCACCAACACGCACACACACACACACTCACAAGCGACTTCATGGCGACTCAGATCACACGCACAGACGACCTTGGCATGTGCTTCTTTGACTGCGACCTGTGCATGACTGCTGGCCTGGCTGTGGACAGTCCATGTTCCTGACGGACGACCGGGTACACAAAACTGATGATGATGAGGAGGAGGAGGAGGAGGATCATGATGAGGATGAGGATGAGGATGAGGATGGTGGTGGTGGTGGTGGTGATGGTGATGGTGATGGTGATGGTGATGGTGATGGTGATGGTGATGGTGGTGATGGTGATGATGATGATGATGATGATGATGATGATGATGATGATGATGATGATGATGTCGATGGCGATCTATCACTATCACTATCACCATCACCCATCACCCATCATCGTCATCATCATCATCATCATCATCATCATCATCATCATCATCATCATCATCACTATCCTCATCCTCATCCTCATCCTCATCATTATCATCATCATCATCATCATCATCATCATCATCATCATCATGATCATCATGACCATCATCATGATCATCATCATCATCATCATCGTCATCATCATCATCATCATCATCATCATCATCATCATCATCCTCATAGCGATGATAGTGATAGTGATAGCGATAGCGATAGTGATAGAGATAGCGATAGCAATAGTGATACTGATAGTGATAATGATAGTTGTGAACACTGGTGCCACCAGTCATGGTTGGAGAATGAACGTGAGTTCCAGCATGGCATGCAAGTGGAATTTCTGCGAGTGATCTGGCTTGAGGCCTGGATGCTTTGTGGCACAACCACTGTCGAGTGTGGATTGGTGCGTGAGGCTGGGACATGTCAAAAGAGATTCTTGACTGGGAAGGACTTTAGCCCATGAGCCATGTTCGCTTCACAGTCCGGCCGGCTTGCCTTGGAATTTCGCGATTCCTCTCAAAATCAGGAACCCATAGCCAGGGTCCGAAATCCGTTTTGAGAAACTCGCAAAGTTCTTCCGTTTATTCAAAGTCCAGGCAGCGACACTTCTTCGCCATAGGCTTCACCGCGCAGCAAAGCATCCCGGTGCATCTTAAAAATGCCTCGGGTCCCAGCGTGCAGTGTGACACCCGACAGCAACCGGAGGAGGTCCTGTTAGAGGCCTTGCAATGGCCCGAAATGCTTTTGGGGTTCGGCATCAGAGTGCTTGCAGACTTGCAGAGGCCTTTGAAGATCGTGGCGAATGTTGATGCACAATACTGTTCATGGATCCCTGCCTATATGCGGAAATTTATGTGACTGGCTTAAATGCGTCGGAAACATGATATATGTATATGTAATATACGTTGCTCACTCCTTTCTGAGAGGGTTCTACTGGCAGGGACACACAGTCAAGCGGTGCATGGTCAAACTTGTATGGCAGGACTGTCCGACCGACCCGACTTTTTGTTGGTGATGTATGGCTTGCAGGTTGCCACCAATCCACTCGCTTGGCTCGAGGTCCGCACCGAGCTCGGACGGTAAACATGAACTCGGAGAAATCAGAGGATTCGATGATCGCAAGTCGACTCAGCAAGAAGTCATCAAGTTATTCCTTTCTTTCATTGTAGATTTAGAGGTCCCTGGGCAGATGGCAAACATATACACTCTATGTTGGCACAAAAGAACCCGCGCAAGCAGACAAGTCTCAAGCAATGGGATTTGGCAACTTGATCTCCGTTACGTGGTCATGTAGCGCCATCAAGTGCTCGACTTTCTGGCACTGAGCATGTTGCTGTCAGAGGCAGGGTCAGACTTGCGGTTTGTGGACACGATTCGGCTGTGCTTTTGCAGAGGTGCTGGCAGATCTGAACACAATGTATGGCGCAAGCATTCTGGAGGCCTCTAACGAGCTGAATACTAAGTGAATTTTCATTTCCATCGTCATGTGTAGGTTTGGTGGGTGGCCTTGTGGATGTGTTGTGGAACTTCATTGTGGATCGCTCGAGCTTTTTACTCTGGTCATATTGCGGGGGTGTCTTGGGAAGTGGCTGTCTGCATATGTCTACATTCGCTTCGTGGCCTGTATCAGCTTTGGACGCCCGGTGACCATTGTGAAAGAACGCACTAGCTTGCGTGTTCTCAGGGAATGAGAAATGGAATGACCCCTGACATTTGCTGAAATTTTGAAATGACTATTTTTTTTGTTTTCCCCTGTTGGTTTTTCAAGGGAATCAATTTCACTACTGGACATTGTTTCCATTTTTTCCAGGGGGCGAAAACCGCAACTGGAAGCTCCCAGTGTCTTGGGTGTAGGTGGAGGAGCGCGCGCAACGAGCTGCGGACGAGGTGAAGCGGATCCAAGGGGAGGCCGACAGCGGGCGGCGGAGAGCATCTGACGTCGGGGGAGCCCACATGAGTCACAATCAAAACCCGGTACATGAAGGTTAGTAAGGGACGCTCCCAGCCACAAATAGTTGCGGCCGCCTTGGCATTTCCTTACATGGTTCTGGGTCAATCATTTTAATACCGGGCGTGACCCACATAGGGATGGGGGTGGATGTGGGTCTGTCTCTTTTTTGGGGGGTACCCATTTTCTGTTGGGTTTGGAGGGAAGGCAAAAGGAGAACCACCATGTTGGGGGCTCCAACCCTAGAAAAAGACGCACCCATGTGTGTGTGTGTGTGTAGACACAGATGCAAGCGTATGCAGTGATATTTTAGGGTGTTTTCCGTGCATCTCGATCCTTTCCTTCAGCCATATCACTTGGACCAGCAGCATGGAACATGAGCATGTCGTAGCACCACAGGATGTTCTTTCCCGCCGATCCCATTGATTCCTTGCAAAACCAATCCTTGTTCCACCATTTTGCTGCTCTCATTGCGGGCACTCGTTGAACAATGCTGAGTACTCCCCTGAGAAGAGGCGCTGACACCTGTCAAATCTGACAGAAGCTTTTCCCTTGAAGCATGGGATTACGTTGGGTTGCGATTACTGAACTGAAGTCTGGCACTCTGCCAGAGCATGCACTATTGAGTGTTGAGGTCCTTAGATTTCGCCTTGTCCAGGCGGAAGAAGGTGCAGAGAAGATTGCACAGGATGGAGAAGCTGAGGCGCAGTGGACATGCTACATGCCGTTGTTTGTGTATTTTGCTGCCGAAAAATTGGATGCCTTTCGGTGATTCCTCTCTTTTTGACACATTGGGTTTGGGTCAAACATAGTTGATGACCCCAGAACTGAACCCTGGTCAATGGGCTGCGGTCCATATGCTGGTGGCATTTTGTGACCAAGCCCACATGTTTAACCTCCTGGAATGCCTTTAAGCCACACTCGCCCCGCTTGAAAAAAGCGCTGGCGCCAGGTAGAAGGGCTGGAAAGAGAGCGGTTGGAGCGCCAGAAAGTCTCAGCACTCAGCGAGAGGTCTCGACCTTCGGAAACCAGTTCCCCATGCAGTTGCTGGGTTCTTTGAGTTGGTACCCTTGGGCTACATTTTTAAGGGACGCCAAAAGGAAGCTGATCATTTTGGGGGTGCCCCTTGGACACATGCCCTATCTGTGTGCCGACTGGGAAGATACATTAAGGGGCCAGCATGTCACTCACCAGAGCTGCATCGGGCGCCATTGTGCGCAGGGGAGTTGACAATGTTGACACTTGAAACCATTCGCATGCGCATCCAGGAGCACGGCTCATCATAAATGCTTCCCCCAAAGACAACGTTGGATTGACATACAGACCTGAGCATACAATCTGCCTATAGCGAGCTCACCTGGGGGTACAAAAAGCCCGTGATAAAGGTCTTTTACCTGGGGATCCAATTTTTAATTCAGCTTTTGGAATTATAGTAGCATGCAAATGTAGATACAATGGGTACCCTCCCTCCCACTAACATGGCAACTGACAGGGAATTGGTCCCTTCAGGAGGAATGTAATCTTCCAGGTAGCTCCCCACAAGTGCCAGAGTGGGAGGAAGGGTCGCGCATGCGAAAGAAGCCTTCGGCGGTTTTATGACCGGCGGAGCTTCGCTCAGTCTGAGGCGCATGAGGCAATGCTGCAGCAGCTCCAAGAAGAAGTGCTGCGTTCGTCGCTGAGGATGGGCGCGTGGCGTGTTGCAAAGCCTGGTCCGGGAGAGTAATTGACTAGCGTATGGCTGGCAAAATCACTTCTGCTTCAAGGGTTTTGGCCAAATGGAACCGGACTTTGCACTTACTGCAGTTGCCGATGGCCACTCCAGTACCTGAAGCATAGAAGTTGGTGGTTTGGGAGGCTGGCTTCTTGGGACGCCCATTTTCAGTCACAACGGCTGAACCAAGGTGTGCGCGAGGTGGCCAACGAGAGGGTTGAGGAAATCGAGGCCCAGATGCAGGCACCGTTTTCTTTTTCCCCACACGACAGGAAGGGGTTGTTAGACTTTATGTTGGAATCCGCGTTTGCGATGCTTCTACACCACGCCCCCACCCAGTATCCCGCCAGAGCAGCTCGCCACCGAGTATCCCGCCAGAGCAGCTCGCCAGTGGATCCCGCCAAAAATCCCGCCAGAGCTGCTCGCGAGTGGATCCCGCGCAGTATCCCGCCAGAGCTGCTCGCCAGCGGATCCCGCTGAGTATCCCAGAGTAGCTCGCCAGTGGATCCCGCCGAGTATCCCGAGGTCCCGCTGAGTATCCCTTGCCGGTGGATCCTGCCGAGTACAGCATCGAGCCGGAGCGGCTCGCCAGTTTTCGCCAGTGGATCCCGCCAGTATCCCGCCAGAGCAGCTCGCCAGTCTGGTTTTGCTTAATGTCCCGCCCGGCCCACAGTTGGGTTTACATTTCATGTTGGTGCCTTCGTGTTTTGAGTGTACCCTGAGGCTCGGAAAGGGTGATGCTTTTGTGTTGCTTTGGGTTGTGAATAAGCAACTTGGGGGCTTTCCGCCAGCGCCTTGCGAGGCAAAACGTAGGGAAGGGTTTGTGAACGGGGCGACATGCGGGTTTGCTTTTTGCGGGAAACCGCTCCACGTGTCTTTGTTTGAGCTAGCCCTTTTTTGTGGTTTCAAATGAGAACCAAAAGACCACTGTATGTGTTCTTGGACAAACATGTTCTCAAATCGGAGTGGCCGAAACGGCCACGCGGAACTTTAGACTTTAACTTTTGGGAAGTCAAGGGTATTCCATTGAACCCACAAAAAGTTAAGCTTTTTGCAGAGGGTTCAACAGCAACCAAGCATTTGTGTGACTCGCGTCAGGCGTTTTCAGCCCTGATTTGATCCAGTCAACCACACTCCCCCATCTCCACATTTGGCAAATAGTTCACCCACCTGATTTTTCGAGTTGTCCCGCACCCTGCCCGGCCCTTCGATTCACTCAAACCTCCAGACCCTTCCCCCTTGACCCTGGCTCGACTTGCTGCACGCTGGAACTGGGGACTTGGACTAGACATGGATCTGAACTAGACACACGTGGAACTTGTACAATCCTTGATGATATCTTGTGGAGTTCTTATGGTTCTTTATCCGAACGCTTGCTGATAAACCATGAAATGATGAGCCACGGGTAACCCACCAACATGAAACATCATTAGTTGTTGCAACCCAAATTGGACGAGGTTCGGGAAGCAGGAACCCGGGTTGCACGCGGAAAACAGGTGCGAAAGCTTTCTTCTGAGCCGGTACTCAAATCCCAACTACGGTCAGATTATAACTATGCCCATTGTGGTCAAGACACCCTGGAATGATAAAACGACATATTCTCGTTGTGGACCAAGGTGGTCCCCCCATGTAAGCACCCTACATTTATTACGGTTTTTTCAAACGCAAACTTAGGCATGGACGCACCCTTGCTGCACTTGCTCAACCTCTGAGATGGACATTGGATATGCCAAATGCTCATTGTCGTAGTGATAGCAGTAGGGTTTCAGGTTCCCATCAGCACTTGGGTTGCTGTCTTCGTGGAAGTCATGAGACCCAATCATCTAATGATCCAATACCAAGGCGCTTGGATCTCCTTGTCTCTTTCCTGCCTAGGGGCATGTTGGAAGAAGCTGCACATTGAACAGACCAACCGAGCCACAATCAAAACCCGGGTAGATGAAGGTTAGTAAGGGGCAGTCCCAGCCAGAAATAGTTGCGATCGCCTTCTTAATTCTTGAAGCATAGTTCTGGGTAGACCATTTTAGTACAGGGTTTTGATTGTGACTCAACCTCAGTGAGAGGCCGAGGAGGAGGCGGTGGAGAGGGAGATTTTGCAGAAGGCTGAAGAGCGCAGCTGGGCCGCAGATGGTCCATGGTCCATGGGAACAACTATGTCACGTGTCCATGTTTTTGTCGGGACGCTTAGTTCAGTTGGGGGGGGACCTACTTCTAGCATATGAAAACCAAGGGAGTGAACTTCCGGGTTTCTGACTGTGACAGCTGGATTTCTCTTCCCATGGATAGATGTAATTTCTGGAGTCAGCCGTATTTCGACACCATGCTGAACCCCTGAGTTCCATTCAACGAAACACCTACAGGATCGAGGGGGGGGGCCTTCCCGGCAGAGGGGTTTTGAACGGATCTCAACTGAGATGCTTTACCCAGCAATGGTGCGTCAACAGGCCAAAATGTTTGACATGTCAAAACAAGACGTGATTATGTTGGTCCCTTGGCATGTCACATTGTTCATTCTGATTTTTAATTCAAGACATGTCCTTCGCCCAAGACCGTTGTTCTTATTGTTCATTCTGAACGCTCTTGGTCGCGCATCCCTGTTTTGCAGAGGGTCCTTGCTGACCAGCCTTCTTCCCGGACAAGTTTGTCACTTGTGCGCAGGTGCCGAATCCCTTCGTTTGATCAAGGAGGATGCGGAGAACATGTCCTCAGCCGCCGACGAGTGCGGGCCCCAGACTGATTCAGGTTTTGCCGGCCCGGCCATCCAGATGCCACCGCATCCAGGCAGTACCAGCTCTGCTTGGATCAAGAGAAGCAGGCACAGGTGGGACAGCAGCCATGCCATGCGGCTGTTTGCAGTGTCTGTCACGTACTTGTCTGTAGGGTATGGCAGCTTGCTCGTTTGTCGCTGCCAGGCTCGTGCGCGGCAGGCCGGCTGAAGACGACTCGGACTCGCGCAGCATGAGTCACCCACATAAGACAGGCGACCTCGACCTGGCTCTATCTTATAGACCATTTGTGTCGGGGTTGTGGGATCAAGGGGTTTATCCCCACTTCTGTGATACAAGGGAATCCCCTCATTATATGGTGGGTTTGTCTTTGCGAGGCCCTCTTTGTTGTATCGCAGAAGTGGTCATTCCCCATGAGTTGTGCTGTTTGGGCAAGTGAAGTCCACAAGAGAAGGGAAGTGCCTGCACGTGCATGGCAAGTCAAAGCTTCTTATTCCGAGTCTCCGGCCGCCACAATTGAGTTCCGTGCAGCCTCAGCTCGCGCAGCCTTCGCATAGAGGAGCTGCCAGTGCATATGCTTCAAACATTGAACGCATGGCAGGCTCTGGCGGAGATGGAAAGGAAGAGACGGCAGACTGTGGAAGAGGAGAGGTGCTTGCCGTGATCCTGCATGTTAGGACTTACGGGATTCTCAGTGATCCCTCGCATGTTTGATTTGTGTCCTTTTTACGGGGGCCCAAAATGGATTTCGGTTTTCCTCTTAAAGATGATCACGAACGGGTGAACCTTTTTTTTGGAGTGTTTGGGCTGGTTGACAAACCAAATCGCCGAACGGAATTTGAAGCCCCAAAGTGGGTGTCCCTTTGGCTTCCCAAGCCGGAGATCCTCCTTCCAGTAACATGGCACCTGAGGGAGGGTATTTGTAAGATCAGTTTTTTCTTGGAACCCCCTGTCAGGTGCCATGGCCACGTGGGGGTCGAAATGGGATGACCACGGCGGGAAACCGCCCGAAAGATGATACTTCCACACATGGGAAAAGCGACCCATTAAAAAGAAAAAAAAACTGGGGGCCATCAACGGTGGGAGAGAGTAAAGTGACCCATGGTCCAACCTAGGGGCCTTAAAGAGAATATGTTGAAGGGAGTATTTTGAATTTTGATATCTTTCGAAGCCATGCTCCCAGTTCCCATCCGCCGTGTTCCCATCCGCCGATTTCCCATCCGCCGTGTTCCCATCCGCCGGCGGAGCGTCGGAGGCTGAGCAGAGCTGTCAGCTTCTGACGGCTTCCTCCCGCCGGCGCTTGGAAGGCGCCCAGGCGGACCTGGCCCAGCGCCCGCGCCCCAGCGACGCGGTTTCGGTTTGGGGCGCGGTTTCGGTTTGGGGCGGTTTCGGTCTCCGTAAGGACCCGAAATACAAATAGGTCCATGACCAACCATGATTTAGGGTACCTGGGACCCCATATGGCCGTTTTTTTTTTGGTCATACGCCTTTGAATGGTGCCAGGTAATGACCAACCAATTTTAAAGGGTCAGAAGGAGACTCTAGGTGTGGACTGGACGCGTCCGGCCGAAAGTGCGGGGGGTCCCATTTTTTGTGCGGTTTCGGGGCTTCGGGGCTTCGGGTTTGGGTGCCACGAAGCCACCACGTTTCGTGCCTGAAGTTTTTCCGATGAGGGTCACGCAGCGAGCATCAATTCGGAAAATCTTGCAGTCCTGGAATTTGGTCGGGCTTTTGGTGCGGATTCGCAGCTAAGACTGTGTTGCTGGCGTTTGTCGGTTTGGCGGCTTTGTTTTGAAGAGTGTTAGGCTCAGAATGTGTTTCCTTCAATCTCGCTGAAGGATTCCCTCATGTGTCAGCGCCTGTAAAGACAGCCGTGGACCAGTCGAATCGGGATTCACTGATTGGTTGACCCTGAGAAAGCCACCGTGAGGGCGAGCTGCAACCATGGCAGGTTGCAGCTTGCATCTGCCAGCTTTATGTCAGGGCATGGATGGAGCACCCGCAAGGGAAGGTGTTTTGGAAAGCATGCACGCGCTGGTTGATCACTCTTCCTGGCCCGCAAATGACCATGGCTAACTTTTCCAATTCAGTGGGAAACAACACCTTTTTAGTGGTTTTCTCCAATGGTCATCCCATGTAAAGGACCTGTTGATCATCCCCCACATAGTCTTGTGGGGCGACGCGCCTTCCCTCGAAGACTCTGCCCTGTTTGAGCGGAGACGCTTGGAAGTCAGGCATCGACCAGTTGCTCCGGAATGCAATGGCTGCCAGATTGCGGCTACAGGCCGCTGCTTTTCTTGCCATTAGGTGGGCTCAGCCCTTCTCATGACGCAGACTATGTACAGTGCAGTCAGAATTTGTAGGGTATCCACCTTGATTCTGTGCATACCTCATTTGCTTGATCCGTTTTGCTTGGCATGGCTTTGCTTGCTTGATCGTTTGTTTGCGTTGTGCGTCGTGTTTGTGAGGGAATACCAAGCGCACTTGAATCCAATGCTTAGCATTTGCCAATGCAATTGCAGGACACGCGAGAGACGGCACGGAGCTGAAAGGAAGAGAGGCAGAGAGTTGCAAAGCTGGACACCAACTTACCTGGCCGTGGTGGTCAAAACCGTTTTGGGATCCCATTTTGGTTGGGAGGATTGGTTGATGTTCACTGGGGGTACGATTTGGGTTTTGACCCATGGCCCAGCGTTGCCTCCAGCGTGGGGGCTGGTGGCGCTTGAAAGTCAGCTGGCTTTGACATGCCCAGATTGCAAGGCCTCAATTCAATCAACTGCAGCCTATTGCCAACGCTTTTGCAGCACAGACAATCAACGCTTTTGCAGCAAGGGCAGACAAGGATCACAACAAAGAGTTCCGAGCTTAGGTGGACGCACAGTGGGCGGAGGAGCTGATGAAATTACGCTCTGGGCCACAGCCAACCATGCGGCGTCGTTCATGGGGCTTCACCTGAAAAGTAGAACCTTGCTTTTCCCTCGGACATAAATATATTGCTTGGGTTTCTCAAGTCCGAAGTGGGTCATCCTGGTGTTCCTGCATCTTATGTCAGGCTTAGGCGAGGTTTAGACACGTTTCCTCCGCTCAATGTCCGCGCCACGCGCCAGCTGCGAGGCCAGGAGGCCCGTGACCATCGCTTGGAAGCCGCTCACGGCCTGGAGCAGGCCGACGGGAGCTTCGGCTCCGCGGCGGTCCTTTGGGAGGTCGACGGGAAGTTTTGGCTTGAGATGTCATCGGTGGTGGTGGTAGATCCGTTCGGTTTGGGGGGGGGATTGCAAGGTCGCAATGTGTTCAGATCTGCCAGTTGGTGGCAGTTCCCTTGGCTTTTTGCTTGAACTTTCGTCCGTGGTGGCACATCTTTGGTTCCTCATGTGGCTTGTTCAATCCCGAGGGCCTGCTGTCAGCCGATCAAACGGTCAACATGCTGGTTGCAAGCATAACAACAGCATAACCCTTCAAAATATGAACAGGAGTCATTGATTGAAATGCCCATATACAGGCGATTGTCTGATTATGTAGTCGAGACAACTATTTCCACAGTGAGATCGAGATTGCCATCCTGCTCAGTCTTCCAAGAGAATGTGAGGCTTCGCCGAAGCAGTCCACTCGATCACAAATGGGGCAGGTGCCAAGGAACGTATTTGGCTGTGGGTCAAAACCTATGGTACCATTTTTGGGTAGGTGCAGCGCCCATTTTAGAACCTATTTTAGTGGGGATTGGGATGTTCACTGGGGGTACGATTTAGATTGTGACCCATGGCCATTTCTGCTTTCTGTGATTACATAGGGACCAAGTTGTTCCCCTGTTCCTGTGAACATCAAAATAGGTGGCAAATGGATGCTCATTTACCCCAGACCCATTATTTTCCCCTGTTGGTTTTAGAGGGAGCCTATGACTACTGGACATATTTTCATTTTTTCCAGGGGGCGAAAACGCAAATGGAAGCAGGGTTCCACTTTTTGGCTACCCCAAGATAGACCTTAAACCATTTTTTTTTGGGGGGGGGGGAATGAACCACCCCTGGGTTTCAGTCTACCCTTGGGGTCGTCAAAAAGTAGAACCCTGAATGGAAGTATTTCAGTGGTCGGACCTCCTCGGCTTTTCATCAGGCCCGGGCCGCGCGCGCGGAGCTGGAAGCCACGTCGCGGGTGGGGCGCCCGAGGCACCGAGGCAGTGCGAAGGGGAGCCCGGTGGTTCGGTTAAGGAGCCCAGTGGTGCCCGTATTTTGTGTTTTTCTTTTTCTTTTTCTTTCTTTTAATTCATTTTTTTTCTGGAGGAATTCCCCTTTAAAGTCAGCCAACCAAAAAAGGATGCCCTTTTCTTTCTGAAAGCCACTGGGGGTTGCTAAGGAGGGGCTGCCCGTGAACCCTGCGCAAAAGCCGGTTCAGATCCCCAAACCACCACCATTTCGGGGGTTCCCTGAGTGGGGGGTGAAGAAAACAATGTCAATTTCGGGCTGGGGGGGGGGGTGTAAAGGGGAGCATGTTTGTTTTTTAGACCGCCGAGGATCCAATGGCTACGCGGCTACGTATATGGGCCCTTCCAGATTCCCCGATGGTCCTATGTTTTTTTCTTTTTTCTTTTTTCCACCGCCACGATGGGACTCGTGCACTGACGCAGCCATCACACAGCTTGAGGGGTGGACACCTTGCTCAGTGCAGGCTGTGAACCTTCAGGAGGGCAACCCTGGGACTTCACTTCAACTTGGTCCCTATGTACTCACAGAAAGCAGAAATGGCCATGGGTCAAAATCCAAATCGTACCCCCAGTGAACATCCCAATCTCCACTAAAATAGGTTCTAAAATGGGTGGTGCACCTACCCCAGAATGGCGAAAATGGGCACAGCCAAATGCCGGAGAATCCGGACTTTCCGCTGTTCCATTGGTGCTCTCAGGGAAGAACTCTACAAGCTGTGGAGGAGTGCAAGCTGCTGAGGACCGGGACAAGCTGAGTGGGGGCTGAGTGGCCCAGCTCATCCTGAGACATGTCACTGGCCGCAAGTGAAATTGTCCAAGAGCATTGCTGAAGAGCATGTTTAAGATTCAGAGCTTATTTTCCCTTATGAAAAACACGTGTTTTATGCGTAAATTACCACAACTCAGGGCATTGGCCTCTCTTAAGTTTAAGTTCTGTTCAGAGCTGCGTGCCAAGTCAGACCCCACACACCTTTAACGTGCGTAAAAGGGTGTGTGGGAGGTTCGATTCCGTTTTGCGCGCCTCAGTTAGCATGACTTTTGCTGTTGCCCCGGAGGCAGCAGCACATGAAGGTGGGGAGCCCTGATGCGGAAGGGCAGGATCGGACTTTTCAACGGTAGGCAAATAAAACCACCAAGACTCCCGATTTTCCCTTTGGGAGGTTTTTCAGACACTTTCGGAAGGTCAAGTTGCACTTGAAAAAGTTGGAATGAAAGACGTGGGTGGCAAAAGTGACACATTTTTCAGGGACCCCCAAGTCTTCAGGGAAGGCATTTTTGGTACTTCAGAGACCCAACGCCCTTTGCATGGATTTTTCGGTTTTCCCTTTGGTTTCCGTTTAAACCAAAAGTCTGTTGGAGCAAGA